AGGCTCTCCCTCATCAAGTCCCTGTAGTTGTTCTAAAAATCAACAGTCAGTACCAAACCAAAATACTCTCCTCTCTATAAAGAGCCATTAACTTACCTTGCAAAGTGCCGCGAACCAAAGACAAATCCTCGTCCCGGTCTGCAAGAAGTGCAACAACCTTCTTCTTAGCACCGTCATCTTCAGCAATCAGCCATGCCAAAATGACATCGATGGTCTGGAATTCATTATCATTAGTACCGGAAGCATGCTTTAGAAACAAATGAAGACCACTGTACTAACCTGCAGCGAGAACAGTCCCGAATCGAGTCGACGTGAGAGCCACTCGCCAGCCATATATTCTTGATCTTCCTTTGAATAGCTCTTCCGTTCCTTCTCAATAGCTTGTTCAACTGGCGAGACGCGGGCAGCGTATTCCCGACGCAACTTGATCAGTTTACCAATCTTCTCATAGTCCTTTTCCATGAACTTGGCCAGCGTGCGAATACGCGGCGCTGACCCACCGGGCAAAAGCCGGAGCAGCGAGGCAAAGATGCCCAGAAGATGTTCGATATTTTGTCCCTCTTGCTGTGATGGTGTGAGATTGGAGGCGAGGCTAAGGTAGGCTTGGATGGGATGCTGGGTCTTTCTTACCTTTTTCATAAACATGCCAAATACTGTTCGGAGACCGGCTGCTTCAATGAGTCGCTCACACGCAGGACCGCCGCCGATTCCGCCGAATGCGTGGTCAAGAACCCGTAGAGCGCGCGGCTTGCTGAATTTGCCTTCTTTCAGCATGATCTGTGCTAGTTCAATACCTTCCGCTTCAATAAATTTGTCCTTTCCTGAGTCTTCATCCACAAGGCAGATGAGGCAATCGAAGAGATTCTCCACATATTCCTCCTCATCCGAATCCTTCTCCGGATCGCGTTTCCGGTATTGACTGAGAAGTTGGAGGATGAGGTCGATGCCATCAAGACCGATAAACCGTTCCCTGTTTTTGGAGGATGATTGCAGGAGAATCGCCAGGATTTCTGCAGAGTATTGTTTGTTTTGGGTTACGGGGGATTCCTTCTGTTGGATGCGGGATAGAATCCAGGGGAGGATTGAAGCATCTTGTCCGATCTTCTCCGCGAGTGTGGTTTGAGAAGCTAGGTTCTCCATGACACCTTGCAAAAGTTAGTGGGCGCTGACATAGCTTGAGACGAAGACAGACCAAGAATGTAGTAAACACCTGCCCGGTCAGTGTCGACCTTTTCATCTAACCGAGAGAGATTGGAAGTCAACAGCTCAATAAGATCGGCATCCATCTGTCATATTGTTAGCTTATATTGTCGCAGCGCATATCGTAGCACTTACCATCGCATTGACTAGGGCATCCCATTGCTCCTGTTGAGCTTCCACGTCCTCATCTGTAAGCTCGCTGATGATTTGGACGACATCAATCGCGATATCTGCATTTTCGTGTGCGAGGAGGGAGATCAAGGATCCGACACAACCCATCTTGGCGAATTCCTCATAAAGTTCTGGATGCTCTGACAAAATCGACAGTCCCTTGATCTCGGTATCGAGGTCGGCTTCCGAGGCCATGAATCTGCGATATAATCACCATCAGCATACATCTCCCCAAGTTTATTCAATTCAAATATCCAACCTACTTTTGAGGATCATTCTCGAACTTGGCTCGTAGCTCGGCATTCTTGGAGATCTTCTTCTCAAAGTTCAGCGCAAATCGGCGCACCCACGTCGTATCGAATTTCTCGGGCGCAGCTTCGTCTTCCTCTTGTTGGTCGATGTATTGCATTGCCTGCGCTGTCTTTTGTTCCATGCCTCCGCCAAAGAATCGGCCTTCTTCGTCGTCTGGTACGTCATCTTCGAAATCTGGAGGTAGCTCGGGGCCAGCCTCGTCATCGTCCTCCATATCGTCCTCCACCATAGGTTCCTTGCCCTTTCCTTTCACGTCGCCATTGGGATCGGTCTTTGCTGCCTTGTAGAGCTCATCTTGGGTATGCCGTTAGCACAGGATTGATGGGAATTCGGCGAGTGGGAGGAGCGTACTAGGATCTTGGACGGGCTCAAACTTGCGCTTGGAGCTCCCGGAGGCGGACTATCGCGAATGGGTCAGTGATACTGCGGTGATTTGAGGTACATAGGTTGTATATCACTGACCTTGAACAGCTCATCAACGCTCGTCATAGCTGCGGCGTGATGTGTTGGAAGGAAATGGTAGCGTGCGCAACGCTCTGGGGTAGGAGGGCCACGATTGATCGGAATAATCAGGATAGCAAAGAGGAAAGTAATAAGGGCGCAGTTCCACTGTTCAACAAAAGCCCTCAGGAGAGGAGAATCTAGTTATCAACCGAGTAAATGCAAGTTCGTCGCGAAGTCGCGCAAAAGAATGCGGGCGGCGGAAGGAACCAACCACGCAGTCCGCAGATTTCTCGAACTCCGCCGAAGTCACTCAGCTTCACTCAACTTCACTCAACTTCACCCATCAACAACTCCAACTACATTTCCACCTCTACCTCCATCTCTTCTACCCCACCGCAGCAATGGCCCCCAACCGTGTCGCCCTCTCCAAGAACGCTGGCTCCAACAAGAGCATGTTCAGCACCGTCTATGACGAGGCCACCAACCCCGAGAACACCACCATTGTCCGCAGCCTGATGGTCTTCACTGTACGTGCAGGGCTTCCTCGACCTCCGCTTGAGACCATCCAAACTGACCGATACTTTTTCTTCTAGGCCGGTGTCGCCTTCCTCCACAGCAGCCTCGGCGAGCTACTCCTCCCTCCGTAAGTTGCGCCACGCCGCGCCGCCCGCACCGATGCGATGCGATGCCTCCATCGTCGACGAGCGGTCAGAAAGAAACCGTACTAATTCATCATCGCAGTATGTAAAACATCATCCCTCGAACCTACCGGATGAATTGTCGATCAATCCCATCCGTTTTCTCTGGATTCCATGAAGCATATTGGCGTCGGTCGGGGAATCGTGCATAGACATCTCTCACTCGATGTTCTTCTGGATCTTTCTGTATAATAGTCTGTTGGACGGGGCGTATGTTGCTGAGAACTATATGCGTGGCCTGCTCATTTTGTCATGAATACCAATCTCGATTAACTATTGTTTCTTTCATCTGATGGATGGTACTAGTAGGGTTGTATGTAGGCCATCTCTTGATCCGCGATGGGGAGTCCGCATAAAGAACTTGAATTGGATTTGATCAACGTGGTCATGGGATGATGGAGCTCATATGAGTTTCACATCATAACTTCCACTCAACTTGGTAGTTCTTCCACGCCGTCCACATTCTCTACCAGGAACTTCCGACCACCTGGAACCAAATCCGTGATACCAGGAATGGCATTCTCGCAATAGAATTGGAACTGAGACGGAGTGCACAACTCCTTTCCAAGAGATCCGATCCTTTCAACCACAACTCCATGTTTAGTCCTCTTCTCCGAACCTTCCACCTTCTCCCCAACCAACCATCGCTCATCTATAGTCCCGAGATAAAGATCCAAAGTATGTGTTTTATCTTCAGATCGCCATATCAACGGACTCCCGCAGTTACCACAAAACCCTCGGAATCGCCGTGGCGAAGACGAGTATTCTTTGTATGTGGGAAATGATGATAATGACGGGACGATTTGCTCTGGCGAAATAACCATAAATTGAGTTAGGAGGCTGGCTGTCCATTTACGGCACATTGTGCATTGACAAGTTGCCGACTGTAACAACCTTCTGGTTAGATTTCAAGTTGAAGTTTGATGTGACTGGGTTTGGCCTAGTCTGGGCACTTACTGGTGGTGGCCATGGTGTGTTCTTGTCAAACAGAATCTCGTACTTGATGGATTGGCATAGACAGCCCCCCGATATTTTGGCTGGCTTAGCGCTGTCGTGAGACATTTTATTTGCTGAGAGAATTTCAAATTGCAAATTCTATGAATTTTGAGGGGAACTTAAAAGGTAAATTGCGGGGAAATGCCAGTATAAAACCTAGTAGTTATACAAATACGATAAGGATGAGTCATTCAGCGCAAACAGGGTTCAAATTGGGCTAGTTATTGTCTGTTGAGTATACCCATACATCTATGTTTTAGGGAACTCACTACGATCCCTTACTACGGTGCACAAAGTAGTATTTCTTCTCTTCAATGAGTATTGAAATAGTACAAGGGTAGATGCAATTTTGAGGCGACTAGTGATATAGTTGGCGAATGCCGGTACACACACACACGCGTTGCATCACGAATCAGAAAATAAATACTAGAGCTCTCTATGCAGGCAAAGAAGACTCGTATCAGACCATATCAGAAGCTGTCCCAGGATGCTTCTTGAAGGTTCAGATAATGTCGGCATTTGAAAATCGCTTAGTCAGTTTGCGTTGCAGGGCTTGGCACGATCATTTGCTAAAGCGGCAAAGAAAGTATCGGCAGCTGTACTTGACGACTACGTATTCTATGTGGTCATCTAAGCTACTAGTAACTTAGAAGTAAGATGATGCTAAGCTCGGGCCATTGTCCATTTGGTGGCTTTTGATGTCTATTTCCAAATCAGCATAGTGTGAGCAGATTCTTTTTCTTGTTCATTGGTTCTATAAAATTCCTCTCAATCGCGGTAAAAAGACATAGGCTAGCCCAGTCAGGGCAACAAGCCACATGGCGCCCGAAAAATCGAAATTCTCACTTGGGATTGGATGCGGTTCTTGTGGTTCACTCGATGACACTTCCGAGGGGGCCAGTTGATTCCAAAGTTCAATTAGCCTAGGGAGGTGTTAGCGTTGAAGTTCTATCCTATGATTGGCCACCCAAATCACTCAACGTATAGTCTACTACTACGCGAAGGAATCGCATCCTCTTTTCAGCAAGACAACTTGAATATGGAAGATGCGCGATTAATGAGTAAAAGAATAAAACTGGCGAAATTATAAAAGGGCTATGCATCCACTGCATTTCGTATCTTTGAATAGTTCATTTCTTTCTTCCTCCCGCTTCGCATAGAGTGCCTCTTATCTCTATCATGGCCAATTCGGGAACTGCCCTGCGATGGAAAATTGGGGACGAAGAGGCAGTGGATGAAATTTCAGTGGAGAGAAAAGACAATGAATACGATAAAGGCAAGGAAAAGAGGCTTCGTCGGCACTCAAGCTCGAGGACGATTGATCCGAAATCTGCCATTCCTATTGAATATCGGAGCCTGTATTGACCCCCCATCTCTATTTTCTGGTTATCCTAACATTTGGCTGATGTATTGGTATCAGTTCGTTCGAGATTGAGGATGAAGGAGAGAGAAACAGGCGATTTAAACGCCAGGCGGAGAATGATAAAATGGTCGAAGGTTGGTCTCTCTGTGCTTTGTCATGGTGAATTATAGTTGGCTCACGCAGAAGATAACAGAATGGCGCAATATTGAGTGGCACACTTTATCTGCGGAAGAAATTCAAAAGCGCCTCGATGTAGATGCATCGCTTGGAATCTCGAGCAGCTCTGCTAAAGAGCGTCTTCAGAAATATGGCGCAAACAAAATCTCTCCGCTCCCAAATCCTTGGTTCTGGAGGATTCTTGGCTACTTCTTCAAAGGATTCGGCTCGATTCTTATGATCGGTGGCATTTTGGTCTTCGTCTCGTGGAAGCCACTGGGTGACCCACCAGCGATTGCCAACTTGGCTCTTGGTATTGTTCTCATTGCAGTGTTTTTCATCCAAGCCGCTTTCAACGCGTGGCAGGACTTTTCTTCCTCTCGAGTGATGGCCTCGATTACTGCAATGCTTCCTGAGTCATGCATTGTTCTTCGCGGTGGCTCGCGCGTGGAGATCTCGGCTACTGATCTTGTTCCGGGAGATGTGTTGATCATCAAGGCTGGTAACAAGATCCCAGCAGATATTCGGTTTATTGAAGTTTCGCATGATCTGAGTATCAACAGATCAGTCATCACCGGAGAGTCGAATCCAATCAAGGGTAGTACCGAAAGTACCTCTGACAATTATCTTGAGACAAGATGCATTGGACTTCAGGGAACCCATTGTGCCGCTGGAAATGCACTCGGTATTGTGGTTGCTGTTGGCGACTCCACGATTTTCGGTCGAATCGCGAAGCTGGCAGGTGAACCAAAGACTGGTCTAACAACAATTGAAAAGGAAGTTTTTCGCTTTGTGGCTCTGATCTTTATTATCATGGTCACTTGGATCATTGTTCTGGCTGCTGTCTGGTATGTTTCCTGTGTTCATTTATCTGCTGCTCTATCATAGCTAACATGTTTCAAGGGGCGGCTGGCTTCATAAAGTCCATCCCGACTATATCAATGTGCCGACACTGATCGTGGACTGTGTGAGCGTGGCCATCGCGTATATCCCCGAAGGTCTCCCCATCGCCGTCACAGCCAGTTTGACCATCACTGCAAATATCATGAAGAAGAACAAGGTTCTGTGCAAATCACTCAAGACTGTTGAGACTTTAGGTTCTGTTACAGTTATCTGCACCGACAAAACAGGTACACTGACCAGGGTAAGCATTGATTGTGGATTGCGGGCAGGGGTGTGCCTTGATGCTGACATGTCTCTAGAATCGCATGGCTGTTACCGATTATGCCGTGCACGTAACGAAATCTATTCTTGATTCAACAGGCGAACACACAGCGTCCAAACTGAATGATCTTGTTCTTCGACAAGTTCAAGCCGTCACCGGTCTTTGCAATGCGGGCGAATTTGATACTGAATCGGCGAATTCTCCACTTAGCGAGAGGCGCATCTTCGGTGATGCCACTGATCAAGCCATTCTGAGATTTTCTGAGAGCCTGGGATCGGTGGCTGAGCTTCGCAGATCCTGGCAAACACTTTTCACCCTTGGATTTGACAGCAAGAATAAATTCATGATCAAGGTGATTAAAGCGGCCAGCCCAGAGGCCCCCAGCCTCTTTCTCTCGCCTGATGAGGCTGGGAAATTTGGTCCTAGTGACGTGTACGTGTTCCAATCAGTCTGCAGCTGCTCTGTAGACGGAAACTGATTCCTTGCAGGCTTTTTACCATCAAAGGAGCTCCCGATATTTTGATTGAGCGGTGTTCACAAGTTCTTCGTCCAGATGGCGAAGTCAAATCTTTGACGCAGGCTGATCTTGCCGCCTTAAAGCGCCTGAAGGATGAATGGTCCTCTCAAGGCAAGAGGGTCATTATGCTAGCTCGCAAGGTTCTCGAAAAAAGACACGATACTAGCCAGTCCTAGCTCTGTCGAATTTGAGACTCAAATGCTTCATGAAGCTAGAACAGGTCTTACCCTGGTCGGAATGGTTGGCTTGATTGATCCGCCACGATCTGAGATTCCAGAGGTCTTTCGGGTGCTCCGGCAGGCACAGATCCGGGCTTTCATGGTTCGTTTGATGACCCACGTTGATGGTGTAGCCCGTCTTACTAAATAATTTCTACAGGTTACTGGCGACTTCGGACTCACGGCCCTTGCTATTGCCCGCAAATGCAATATTGTCACCAGCGATTTCGTCCACGATGTATCCTCTCTTTCTAAATCTCCTGTCTCAGATGAGAAAGAAGGATTGATCTGCCAATCTGCCTTGTCAATCAGTGGACCAGAGTTGATGACTCTCAACGATCATCAATGGGACCAACTGTGCAAGTATCCTGAGATTGTCTTCTCTCGTACCACCCCCAATCAAAAGTTGCGGATTGTGCGTGAACTTCAGGCAAGGGAAGAGATCGTCGGAATGACAGGAGACGGTGTTAATGATGCCCCCGCCCTTAAAGCAGCTGATATTGGAATCAGTCTCGCCAGCGGCTCAGATATTGCTATCGAGGCTGCCGATATGGTGCTGCTGGATTCGTTTGCTGCGATTGTTGAAGCCGTACGCTATGGGCGTGTGGTTTTCGATAACCTAAAAAAGACAGTTGCCTATCTTCTACCGGCTGGCTCATGGTCTGAGTTCTGGCCTGTGTTCTGCAATCTGGTTTTCGGAATTCCCCAAATTCTTTCTTCCTTTCTCATGATCATCATCTGGTATGTTATCAAATTGGAAAGATCTTATTCATATTGCCAAGCTAATTCATTTTGAAGTTGTTTCACGGACTGTGCCGCAGCTGTAGCTTTGGCATATGAGACCCCAGAAGCAGATGTTCTGTTCCGACCCCCACGCCATCCAAAAAAGACACGACTCGTCAACTGGAAATTAATGTTTCATGCATATGCTTTTATCGGCATGATTGAGACAGCTTTATCGTTCACCATGGCATTCTGGTACCTGGAACGGAATGGAATCCATTTCTCAGATCTTTGGTTCAAGTTCGGAGAATTGCCTCCAGGCGTGACAGAGGACTATTATACGGCCAAGGTCAATGAAGCGAGTTCAATATACTTCATCAATCTCGTGGTCATGTAAGTACCTCTAAAGGTCACCGATTCTCTTCTTCGCTGACGATTAACAATTTCCAGGCAATGGTTCAACCTAATGGCAGTCCGAACACGTCATCTGTCAATATTTCAACATCCTCCAGCATTCAATAAGCAGACACAAAACCTGTACTTATTCCCTGCGATTGCATTTGCACTGGGAATCTCGGTCATCTGGCTGTATGTTCCTAGCTTACAGGTCGTTCTGGATACTTCGGGTATTCCCGCCGAGCATTATTTCCTCCCAGCTGCGCTCGGCATCGGGCTCTTGTGTCTAGATGAAGGGCGAAAGGCTGCTGTTCGTCGTTGGCCTAATGGAGTTCTAGCGAAGATGGCTTGGTAATCGCTTCATCTAAAGGCTAAACCTTTGATGGCTGGTGCGGATTCGGAAAGGGAAAAGCCCTAGAGTATGTCACCGTGAGAGAGCGTGCTTCTAGCTGTTAGGTTAATCGTGTATTCATTTTCATCACGTAGTTTGGATGGTTTCATGTAGGATCAGAAAAATGACGGTGATGTACCATTATATAGTATAAAGGAAAAAGGCGGCGATGTTGAATCTATGGGTCTCTGTGGCATATAGTCTCAACATATTTACCCAATTTAACTTGCTCCAAATACCTAGGACCTCGGGTATGAATTGAAGCTGTAGTACCCTCCACTAGTCACTGCTACATTCTATTCTTTCATTCAATCTTCTTTATTTTATATTTTATTTCTATCTAAGATACGAGGCGGTTCCACCACTGTCAAACCAATAGGAAGGACCGGAAAAGCGCGCCGATGGACATCTTCCCCATACAATTTGGGATTGAGGTGGCATTAGGACGCTGGCAGGCTATGTTGAAAGTGTATGGTCCTAGCAAGTGCCTCGAAATTTATGCCAAGCACTCCGTCATGCTATGCTAAATTGGCATGGCCCTTCGGACTTCAAGGGACCCTATAGTGCGTCAGCTTAGGGACCTTCCCCTGGATGCCGCTAACATCGCTGCAACCGCAGATAAAGGTGGCTGGTTACGGCCGAACTATGCATATTCCTGATCTCCTTTCACGGTGGAAGGTCGCCAATAAAATAGCATTTTATCACCAATTCAATTTCAATGTCTTGGTCTGCTTAGAATCTTATTCTTCCCACCATACAATAGATACAAATTTACATCCTATCATTCCAACTTACGCGACAATGCCTAGTAAAAATTCGCCCAAGCCAAACTGACTTACAGTCGAATTTGAAGGATTGGAAGCATCAAGAGCCCACTCCTTCTTCAACAGTTTCAACCACGCCTCAAACTCCATTTCTTCGCCATCGACCAGCATCATACCGCTAGAAATGCTCTTTAATTGGGGAGGAATGGAGATCCAGTACTCCACGTGCTGCGAATGACACCTCTTCTTGGGCATCGCCAATTCCATGAGTTTGACGCATTCCGGGCACCATTGCCCTTCCAAACAGATGGAACAAATAGAAAACCCATTCTGTGTAGGTATTTTCCGCCGGCATGAGCCGCGACATAGATACCAGGGGTCACTATTGTGTTCATCTGTCCTGTGGGCAATTGCAACGACATTTTTCAAGTCTCCCGCCCTCATAAGAGTATATTGCAGGTCAGTAAGCTCGTCATTTGTGGGATTATTGTCGCGGAGGCTTAAGATGCATCGTTGTATGGAGAATCGGAAGAGAGTTCGAGCCCTGTCTTCCTGACCTCGGAGGTGGCAGAAGATGCCCAAGTAGAGGGCTGGCACGGACGCGTTTGTTCCGAAGGAATAAGATTGGCTTCGGTCAACGAGCTTCTCAAGCTTGGCCAACGGTTCTGCCGCCTCTGGACTGTCAATTCCAGCCTCAATTGCGTTGCAGAGAAACGTCTGAGCCAGGTTTGTGGAGGCGAGATGTCTAATCATCCCGATAAGTGTCCCATCCGAAGAGGAAGAGTATGTATCCATGACCTTTTCCCAGCACATGATTGCCTTCAGATGGTCAAGAAGGATATCATTGTAAATTCTAGCAATTGCCATATCCACCTCTACGGCAATCAATGTTCTTGAAGCTGTTCTAGCCACCCTGGCTGCCGTTTGCAAGTTCTCCAACACGAAGTCCAGATCGTTGGTAGCCAACGCGGCATCTGCAGCAAGCCTCGATTTTAAATCAACATCAAATACGTTGACCAGTAAAAATTGAGTTAACTGTGAGAAATCGTCTTCCGGAGCTGGAGTGTCCGCTAACTTCTTCAGCACGTTCATGGTAGCTTTGTAATCGTGGTTGTCGTTATGGCATTCCAGAAGGGCAGCAATACAGGTCGAGCAGGAGGGCGCATATTGATATGCCTCTTGAGCTGTCTCGAACCGCTTCTGCCAGTTCTCCTGCTCCTGGTAGATCTGACCCATCTGCTCCAAGCACCCATGAAGATCTTCTTTCAGCGTCATGTCCTTTGATGACTCCTTAATTGTGGTCAACAACCTTAGTCGAGTCCGTTCCCAGAACTCAATAGATGTCTGCCAGTCGTCTTGGTCCTTGTACATATGTGCTAGCTCACGCATGGTCCGCCAATCATCTGGATTAAGTTCCATCGCCTGTTTGAAATACTCGAGGGCTTCTTCATGGTACCACGATTCACGGAGAGCGGTCGCACATTGTCGAAACCATCGACTGGTCTTCTCGAAGCCACCGAACTCAGCGGCTTCGACTATCTCTTCCGCTGTTATGTCTCTATCGTAATCATGGGCCTCCTCACCTTTAACTAACATTTGGTAGCGCCAGACCATAGAGACCATGGAGTCAGGATTATCCAAGTCTTCCAACAGCCACCTCTTGACGCAGAAAATTACCATTGGTTTGAATAAATTGAATGGATCATCCTCCATCGTGGACAGAAACTCCTTCTCTTCCGGAGATAGAATCTCGTGGACTTCTTGCCCTTCCCACCATGGTCGGAGAGCTTCGATGGTTGCGCTACGAAGCACCCAAATGTTTCCACCAAGCCAGCTCGACATTGATTCTTCCGATCGAAAGACCGTCAATAGCATCTTCGCAATATCCCGCCTATCATCTAATGAGCATTGGGCTGGCAAAGTGGAGAGTAGATGGTCACCCCAATGTCGCGCAGCATGTTGGAGCATATGCCCTGAGTCGGTGGCCTTTCTTGTAAATTCAAGATCGGCGATCAGCCTTAAGTAAGTCTTGAGGATATAAGGCCTGGCTTCATGGTAATTCACTCCGACAGCAATGTGACCCCCAGTAGCCGACACCTTTCCTTGCGATTCATCGCGGAGGAAGTCGCCAATGGATGCATGGCAAAAGGTTACAGTAGTAGTATTCGGTTTTGAGTTGAAGGCCGTGAAGTAGTCCTCCTCGCAACTCTCATGTTCATTCTCTCTCTCTTCATCGGCCGGCCAGCCAAAAGCGTCCAGATGGGCTGATCCATTCTCCAGTTCGGCCGTTGTAAGGCCATCCTCTCGGTGCAGGGTGAAAAATGACGCCCATTGGCGACGTAGGGCACCTTCAAGGTCAATCATACCATCACCTTCCGGTGATTTTAGTCTGAGGATCGATTCTATCTCGGATAGCGTCCAGGGTTGGTTGGCGCATGTGACCCAGAGTAAAGTTTCATTGAGGTATTCGAGCTCCTCCTCGTTGGAGCTTTCGGAGAAAGTGGCCAACATATGTCGAAGCATCTCATTAAGTCCCCGGGGAGCCTGCCCTAGTGCCTTTCGCATACTGGTTTCATTTCGCTTCTTAACCAACTCCTGGAGCATTAAGTTCACCCAAAGGAACATGCCCTCTGCTCTCGCCGAGAGTGTGTCAATAATTTCATTTCCGTAGCTTTGCCGACACCTTTCGCAGAACCAATGACTTTTTGATACTGACATGGATGTACTGGGTAATATCTCCAGAGTTCTTTTGTTTGGTGACGTGGATGGTTGGCACCTTAACCCCGAGGCCTTCAAGCAGCTGATCGCTAAGATGAGGTTGGCCAACGATGGCTAGCTGCAAACACGACTGGTTGTCATACAGATCCCTTGCTAGATCGATGAAGACTGTCCGCTCCTCGTCCAGAGTTTCATCAACTCCATCCAGCAGGATGTAGGTGGTGCTCTTAATATCAGGTTTCTTCAGGAAGTATTCCACGAAGAGGAGACGCCAGGCACTCTCAAGAGTACTAATCTGTTCATATTCCTCAATGGTTGCGAGATACTTCTGATACTCTGGGTCACTCTTGCTGAGTTGAAAGGCTAGGTCTCGCAACGCCTGGTGAAAAGACCTGGTCTGGGGGTTGTCACCCTTGAAGAAGAAGTACCCAATCGAAACCAGCGGGTCACGTTGAAGACCCGTGCAGAAGTGCTCGAGAAGATAACTAATCATATTTTCCACCAAAAATGACTTGCCTGCCCCCGGATTTCCAGAAAGAAACATGACCGGTGTTTCCTTATTGATCCAGGATTGGAAAACATCCTCCCGGTGAATCCAGTCTCCTGTGCCTGCGACACGGGCTTTGTGTATTTTGTGGAACCACTCCTGCACCGGATCAACTTTGGATGGCCTAACCACCTGGTTGACAAATCTCTGCAAGGCTTCTTGATCCTCGTGGCGAACCTGATTTTCCTCTTTTGCAGTAACAATCAGCTCTTCTAACATCTCCTGCATCCCGTGTACCTGTGCGCTCATTTGGTTGACCGTCATTCCGGTCTCCAGGACAATCGCGTTGGTGGAGTTGGCAGTTACAGATAAACCATCAACTATACGACCGGCTCTCTTCGACTCGGTCAAGGTCTCTGCCCCAACTAGGGTTGCTTCGACTCCAGTGAGCCTGTCAAGTCTGACCATCGCCGCTTGAATGGCGTCATCATTACCGAGTAAAATATTTCGAGTGAACTTAAGCAGTCGGCCACGTCGGATGGCCTTGGATGACAAGGATAAAATCTCAATAAGAGTCACAATGATATCGCTCAACTTGTCGGATAAGGCCTCAGAAATGGCTTCTTGCGCGTATGCTTTTAGTCGGGCGGTGAAATCCTATTTTGGTCAGAATTTCCTCTCTCACGTCCTCATCGACATTTTACTAGACCATACCTGTAGCATCTGCATCAGGTCCTGAATCGCGTCGTAGGACGCCGATACACCCTTTGCAGCGCCCACCAAATGAATCACGGCTCCAAAGACCAGGCTGCTGGGGGGAAATGCCACCGACGCTCCCTCCGCCGCAAGGGCACCGAACAATTCCACTGGGATTAGCGTTGTTTTCAGAAGATCGAAGATAGCGCCTCGCCTTTCGCGGAATTCGCGAAAGGTGCTGTTTCTCTCGTCGATTTCTTTCGTGAGATCGTCAACACTGCGAATTTTGGCGATAAAGTCAACCGCGAGCGTCTCCCCCGTGATTTCGTTGTACTTTTGGATCGCCTTGTCGTAAATGGCGGAGAACTGGTCTGTAGAAACAGCCATTGTGAACATGGACTTCGCTAAACTCTAAGATGGGGTTAAAGTGAACGAAACTGGATCGCAATTATCTCATTTTTACCCAGGCCACTGCGGGGCACAGCCTTAAATCTCAATACGGGTTTCGCCAACAGCCACCAGTACACTAAGACCAGCCACGTCAGCCAATGGGCCCGGTTCGATTACACAGACTTAGGTCTCATAGATAAATGTCAGGATGAGGAGTTGATGCACTGGCTAAGTAGGGCTGCACACAATATCCCAAAAATATAATATCGCACCGCTATTATCGCCCGCGCATTATCGCCATCGTATCGCAAGGAAGATTTTTGTGAGACAATATCGTCGTATCGTATTACTCGTATCAAAATTATTAGGATAATTATCATTATAATATCACCAGTAACCTTATTCTGATAATACAATAACAATGTTTATCATACAATAACGATATTCTATTATAAGAATACTAAGCTATTATAATCGTTACTATAGTGAACCGCTACAATTCTACAATAGCCATTTAATCATGTTACGGGATTCTGAAAGCCGAGACGAAGATCTATTGATAGTCGTTCCTATATCGAATCCCCCTGAATAGCTCGCGTATCCAGGACCGCCCCGGCCCTAGGAGTATTAGAGCGCACGACGATAGCCATGATTCTTGTTTTGCGAGAATTTGTCTGTGTATCAACTGTCCAATCTGACCACCCTCCCGTTTGATATACTTGCCTAGTCATAGGTGTCCGGCCTGATAACCTAGTAGTTAACCATTACAGTTACCCCAACTATCAATCTCGATTCCCTATCCATTGCCTGGTCAATCGGTCACTGGCCGATCCCTTAGTACCATTAAAAAAGTTTTAGAACTATAAATATACTACTAGTAAGAAATATACTAAGAAAATCTTAAATTTGTATAATTTAGGGGCTAAATACCTATAGGTACCCAGCCCATAGGCGGCCTATGCACAGGTCTTAGGGTACTTAAGTCAGACTGCCGACTTTTATATAAGGAATACTTAAAGAGTAAATCGGAGTATTTAGATCAGGCTTACTGAGCAGATCAGAGTAATCAGATAGTTGGTCAGAGTAGTTATATGATAATTACTGATCTGCTCAGTATGCTTAGTAATACTCATATTTACTCAGTTAGTTAGTTAGTTAGCAAAAGCGGCGCTTATTGAGCGCTAAAGTAGAAAACAAAAGCTAAGGCTTTTACAGGGGAAATCCGGTACGTAGGTAGATGGTGCTACGTGACCAAACTCCACTGGAATCGAAGCTAATTTCTGATTTGTAAACACCTAATATACATAGTTAAAAGGCAGTAATAGTGTGGAGACCTTCGAATTCAGGCCAACATCACAGGATTCTGCATCGAAAATGCAATAGTACATATAAGCTCACCATTGTTACACATCCCCGGGCCAAATATTAATATGTCTAGTACTACGTTCTAGTCGATGTCAAAATTTTTCCATAATCTTAATCATTCACTCCACGGAATTACCCCAGGGTCAGGTCGCCTGAGGATCCACGTAAGCCTCCACAAACCCCACATCTCCCCAGTTCCGAACACCGCCTTTGGCCACTTTGCCGTCTCTGGCCTCGCCAATTCCAATGTCGATCGCATCAAAGACCTCCGGCAGTTGAAATTCACTAGCCGTCGTACCGAGACCTCGACGCTTTACTCCGTAAGGCTTTCTTAAACCGAGCAGGCATGCAGAGCCCCGCTTGAAAGCCATGTCTCTGTCCCCCAATAGCAATGCGCTGGCCCTGAAGCGCAAGCTGCAGGGCGCGGACAGTCGTTTCGAGCCCGGAAAACGGCATCATCTCCAAGGCTACGATCCACAGGCCCCATGGCTCTCCGAAACGAAACAGAACAGTGGCTGGAGTCGGCTCGGGCATCCGGCCGTGCAAAGCTCGTTGCCACTGGCCAATATGGTCTCTGCTGTGCAGGACTTGATTGATCCGGACTTTGACCCGTTGACGGCTATGTTGGATGATGAGCCTAGATTTTTGAAGCCGTTGCCACAATGCATTGCGCCGGAGGATGTTGAGTTTTTACGCTTTCGTGGTGCCTTGTCGATTCCGGAGAGTGGGTTGCGGAATGAGTTGCTTCGGTCGTATATTCAATGGGTGCATAGCTTTATGCCAGTGCTGAATCTGCAGGAATTTTTACGATGCGTCGCTGAGAATGATCCTAATGGGAACGTTAGTGTGTTACTTTTCCAAGCTGTCATGTTTGTTGGGACGGCATTCGTCGACCTTCAACATTTGCAGGATGCGGGTTATTCCACTAGGAAGGATGCGCGCAATGCATTCTTTACCCGATTAAGAGTATGATTACCTCTCCCGATAGTGGGTTGCTTTCTATTAACATGGCATTCTATAGTTACTCTACTCCCTCGATTGCGAAGAAGATCGCATCGTTATCCTGCAGACAGTGTTGCTCATGACATACTGGTCTGATCCTTGGAACAGCCTACAGCGCGATATCTGGGACTGGATCGGAGTTTGCAATATACAAGCGCAGTCAATCGGATTAAATACAGACCCTTCTTCAGCGAGAGATATGGACCAAAAGACCCGACGACTGCGAACGAGAATTTGGTGGTGCTTATATTCTCGCGATCGGCTCATAGCCATGGGAATGCGACGACCTCTACAAGTCAATGAAGGCACATGCAATGTCCCGATGCTTAGGATGGAAGATTTCGACTTTGAGCCATTTTGTCCATCTGCGGTCGCTCAATTTCGCTGTCGTCAGCTAGAGGATGTCTCGCATCAAAAACGACTAGCTACGATGTTCATTGAGAAAGTGAAGCTTTGTCAGTGCATTGGGAGAGTATTATTCGCACAATATGCCCCTTCACAGCGTCAATTTGGTGCGACGGATCGAACAACTGTCACGATCGTCCCTAGACAGGCTTCCGAGTCAGAATTTACTCGATGCAGCCAGAAACTCGATTCGTGGCTAAGTTCGTTACCGAAAGACGCCCAATTCATACCGGCATCAAAAACCAATTTCCGCGATGGTGAAGACGTGCTGCTATTACATGGAGCTATGCTACGTATGCTCTTCCACGCCACAACTAGTTCCCTCCATCGACCGTGGGCAGCAAACTCAAAGGATCCATCAAAGACCGGAGTGGAGTGGCGCGACGCTGCTCGCAAGAAAATGCATGACGCAGCTGCTGGCATCACGCATATCATCCAGGGCCTTAACCAGTTGAATCTGACGCGATTCCTGCCCCAATCTGGCGTAACGGTTATTCTCCCCGCTGCGGTTGCCCATCTATCAAATTCAATGTCGGATAACCCTGCTGTACGTGAGAGCAGCATTTCTAACTTCCAACGCTGCATCAAGGTTCTGCACTGTTTGAAAGATATTTACCCAGCCGCCGAAAGCGAGTTCGCGAATCTCGAAGCAGCTATAAAATTGCGTTCCGGAAGTGCCAACTCAAATACATTCTTCCAAATCATGCAGAATAACTTTGACCCCTCGCCCTCGCCCACCAATATGAATCCACCAAGGAGGCCAAGCATGGCCGAATCTATCTCAGCGCCAATGAGTCAACGACACGAACAGAACAGAATGTCAGAAACTATGAACACAGCGCAGTCTCGTCAACGAACACAATCCACATCCTCCACCCCTCGACCCAACATCCAACAACAACAACAAAGACGACCCAGCGCAGTGACGCCCATAAACGAATTTCCCAACCTAAACCTCAACCCCAATCACAATCCCACTGACCCAAATACTACTCAACACCAACGCCGCCCCTTCCCAAACGATTTCGACGATCATTTCGCCATAACAGAAACAAACCTCAACCCGGGGCCATCCGGCGATAGCCCATTCAACTTCCTAAACATCGACTTCTCCACCTTCCCAAACTTTGCCGAGCAACCGACTCAAGATATAAACCTTTCCCCCTCAAATAACGACCTGGAAGGCATGGACTGGACAGAAGCACTATTCAAGGGCTCATCAACAACATCCGATCTCGAGAAGGATCTTTTTGGCGAATCTGGTGCGAATGCGGATACGAATAGGAGGACGCAAAGTGTGCCGAACCACCAGGGTGAAGGTCAGGAAGAGCTGGATCTTTTCCCTTTCGCTATGAAGGTTGATCATGGTAGTCGCCATCATTCAGCTAGTCATGTCAACTCTGGTATTACGGGGGATTTGGATCGGGATTTGGGGTTTCAGACTGGTGATGAGATGTTTTGATCGGTTGCGATTGATTGTATGAATGTGCAAAGGAGGGTGAGATTGGGCTTCGACTTTTATTCGATGTATTTATGACCTTGCGACTTGGTTACTTGTACTAGTATTTATAGTGTGCTTCATCCCGGTGTTAAGGTGGATATTCCCGAATTTGTGTCTCCGTGTTTGCGAAAGGAGATACTATCTGGATCTTTTAGGTTATGAAGTAAGCATGAGATGCGGCTGTTGATAGCGGTACAGAGCAAGAAAAAGACAACCGAAGAGTTCCTTACTCTGAAGGAATTTTTTAATACTGAATTGGTCAATTTGAGACTTAGTCTCCTCTAAAGTGTCAAAATCAGCCAATATAGTATTAGAAAATTCCTTCAGAGTAAGGAACTCTGCGGTCCCTCCCTTTTTTCTTTTGATCTAAAATGGAAATATCGAAAAGCAAAACTAGGAAACTCTATATAAAATGTGGTCAAAGCTCTACATCAAGCAGGCCAAGCTTAAAGAGCGTCTCAAACTTATGGACTTGCTTGAACAAGTGAACTCGTCTTACTTTAACTACCAGGTAGAAAAAAGTCTTTCACTGATGTAAGCTCGATATTTTCTATCTCTATTAGTGGGATATCATGACACTGTACCGCCTCTATCAGATACACGGTCTTAAAAGCAAACAGCAAACAAAGCTACCAGGATAGCGAAGTCTAGGCGCCACCAGTCAAGCTAGGCTCATGAAGCCAGAGCCAAAAAGGCAAATCTACTTCTGCGTCCAACGATTCCTCTCATCTCCGTCCTTCCAATCCTGCTCCACATAGCCAAGAGTCTTCTTCACCTCTAGAACCTTCTCATGGTCGCCAGTATTCTTGCCCAGATTATCGCTGAGCTTGACGGCTGGTCGACCATTTGCGGTGGCGATTTTGATGACGATGTTTAGGGGCTTGGACTTTTCTTGCGTTGTTGTGTTGATGTAGTCATCTGGGACTAGGTTAGCAAATGCAATCGTGGCCGTTTGTGTAATACACTTACTTGTGAAGAACGTTCCCACGCCAAAGGTGGGTGTGAAACCAGCCTCCTCGGCAATAGTCTTGTATTCGAGACAGTGCTCGATATCCAATGAGTCAGAGAAAACGACAACCTTCTTGTCTGTGATACCCTCGCGATCGTAGAATTCGCGCACCGTCTTGACGAAGAAGGTAGGGTCTCCAGAATCTTGACGAACACCCGTGTAAACCTGGGCGAATGTCTTGTCGCTGTTGTGTTCCGGAGAAGAGTCAGACTTTGGCGTTGAGATGGGCTTGCGGAAAGCGTTTAGGAAAGCGGGTGTTCCAAATGTATCGGTGAGAGCGATGCCGAGGACCTGCGGTTCGTTGTGAGTAAATGAATTGATATAAAGAAAGGCACAGCAATAACTTACACCCTCGCCAAAGCAACCGAGCCAATATTGCAAAGCCAATTCATTGGCATTCTTGTAATCATCCGTGATAGCCGCGATAGTCATGTACCATTCGTGGGCAACCGTTCCAACAGCATTGGTGTCATACTTCATAGCAAAATGCACATTGCTAGTGCCAGTGAAGACACCCTTCCATCCCTGCTTTTTGCCCTCGGCAGCGGCGCGACTGAGTCCTTGCATGACAAGATCGTGAGTGTGATAATCTCGGCGGCGGCGCGAGCCAAATTCGGAAAACACGCATCCATTCTCTAGCAAGGTGCAACCTTTGCGGTAAGCCTTTTCCTCTTGTTGGTTGTAGTCCCATTCTTTGTCGGTGAACATGAAGTAGGCTTGGCTGGTCAAGGCCAACAAAGGGATCTCGTAAAGAATCGTGTCGAGCCAGAGTCCTTTGATGATGTACTCAATATTTCCCTCATCATCGTCACTGCCGGTATCTTGTGTAGGGGTGAATTTGATCTCGATCTGTTCGGCGGGTTTGAGGTGGAAGGTCTCGAGGAAGGTGATGTATGCGTCATTGAGGTAGGGGCATTTACGCTTGAGGAATGCGCGCTCTTCGGCGGTGACGCGGATGTTGGCGAGCTCTGGTGGGTATTAGCTTTGAATGGTAGAATAGTGTTCGCATGACTATCGCTGAGTATCACTTACTGTCCATCTGCTTCAGAAGCCATTTGTAAGCCGCGCGTCGCAATTTCATATGCGGGGTCCGATTCGTGAAGCTGTAAGTCACATCTACCACATGTTAGGGACTCTATCCTTCAATTCTAGAACAGCTAGACTCACCAACATCAGAGAAGTACTTCAGGATAGCGCATTGCATGGTCAATTTGTAGAGATCGGTATCCAAGAGCGAAGAGATGCCCTCCGGCAATGGAGGGGTAGCTTCCTGGCCCATTTTGCTGGTGGGTTCCGGATAGGCAGGATTGTAGGGTAGAAGGCGAGTATTGGAAGGAGGAAGTTCGACCAGCAGCAGGGCAGAGCCGAGTAGAGAAAAGGAAAGAGAGTAACGGGGGAGTCCGGTCAAAGAATCAAAGAAGTAAAGAAGCAAAGCGGACGAGGGCGGGTTTTCCTTTTGGCGCAACGCGGGGAAGAAATGGTCTGTTTGCACTGTTTGCATGAAGTATACGCGTATTGCAGTGATAGCACCAACGGAGGAGTGTGATTGTGAGTTAAATGGCTGTGTATTCTGGTATTTTCTTTGCCTTCAGATATTTTAGAGTCTTTGAACTTTGCCTAATCCTTGGATTCCTTTCAGATACAGATGGCAGTGGCTGGTATTAGTGGCTCCTCTACGGTGCGGGGAGGCATTATTGGGACAAGTTGAACATACAATATACTACTAGTACTACCAAAGGTAAAAGACTAAGATAAGAGAGAAGAAAATATTTACTACTAGGAGGAATTATATCTATGCCTCATAATGAAAACTGGCCACTTATACTAGTGCTAGTGCACTAACTATCTACTTGATCATGTTTACTTTCTACACTATAGAGCCATTCCTGTATATACCCTAATCCTGATCAAGATTGTCTCTCTTTTTTTGAATGACCATACCTAGTCAATTTGAATTTCTAACACTCAGAAGCACTCTAAGCAAAATAACATGTGCAATAAGTACAGAATAAAAAACGCCGACTTCCCCAGTGAATGCTCCCTTCTCTCACTCTCACTCCACACTACACACTGCACATCTCCCTCTCCTCCCTTTTCACTGCACGATAACTTCTCATAACTTTCATTCAAAGCAGGCCTTTCTCTCTTGGAGTTTGATTCTTCTCCTTCTGGTCTGCTCTTCTTTTCTCACTCACTCTATGGATCCCTCTATGCCTGAAGTCTCAGGCATAAAACGTAACGTGACCGCGATGGAGTCACCTGACGCCACTCCAGCGATCGCCGCCGTCAAAAGTCCAACGACATCCCTTCGATTGACCATCCGTCACGAGCGGGGAAATTCCGAGGAATACCAGCCGTGCGAAAGTGTATCATCCTCGCGATCGCGTCCTCCTCGTCGCCGCAAATCCATCTACTCGCGCCCCCGTAAGGCCCTGACCGCACCCCGTCCACCGAAGGCACCGAAAGCACCGAAGCAATCGAAGCAACAACCCAAACGCCCAGAGATGGCCCACGGCGCCGAAGACTGCGCGACGGTCCTCGAACAATTCGTCCACGATGTCGCCAACTTGCCGCTGGAAATCAATCATCTGATGGAGGAGATTCAGGCGAAAGACAAGGTCATGCAGGATTGTCGGACCACCATCAACTCGCGCGACGGCAGCATCCAGAAATTTATCAAGCTGAACGGCAGTCTGGCCCCAAACCCGAAAGAAGAACAGTACAGCAAATCGGTACTACAGAGTCTGGACAAATGTTCGCAATTACAGGATGAAAAGATCCAACTCAGCGAGAAAGCATGCGTCCTCCTAGATCGCCAGATCAAGCGCCTCGACGTGCGCATTCGCGATTTAGTAAACGAAGGCCTACTCTCCAATGACCCTCCATTACCATCAATGTTCGACAAAAAGGTCGACTACCGCGAACCGCCAAAGGTGTTCTTCCCGGACTCCACTCCCGCCGAAACACCTGCATACTCGACCCCCCTCAACCCAACCTCAGGCAATTCCAACCCAATCCTCGCAGCCGCTCATCGTCTCAGCCAAGCAACGCCGCGTATTTCGACCGCTGCCGCTCTGGCCGCGGCACAAGGTAGCGGCCGGAGCTCGGCACCAGCTACGCCCGGCGGCTCAGCGGGTATGCATCTCCAACAACGGCAGCGCGAATCTTCCGCCGGTGCAGTGGACAGCAAGCGTCGTCGTTTAAATCCTCCATTCGGTACCCTGCCTTCTGCATCGTCAAATCTTCGCCAGTCATCTCTTGGCCCTGGCACGCCTAAGGCAGGAACACCGACAGGAAGTCGAGCGGGAAGTGCCCAACCTCCTCGCGGCGTCAATGTCGGAGTTAAGAAAGCGCTCACGAAGAAAATTGCCCCGCACCAACAAGTCAAGAAAATCAAATCGGCTGCCGGTACAAAGTCAAATAAGCGCTCATCTAGCGCGAGTGGCCGGCTCAAAGCGTCGAAGAAATCTCCCGGTGAAGGTGCGGATGATGATGATGACTCCATGCTCAGTAGTGCGGACATGTCTGAGTCGGATAAGAATGATGAGAGTGCTGAGGATGATATTGATGATGACGATGATGAGGACGAGGGTAATGAAGATACCAAGGTGTACTGTACCTGTCGGACTGTCAGTCACGGTGATATGGTTGCCTGTGACAATGATAATTGTCCGTATGAGTGGTTTCACTGGAAATGTGTCGGGCTCACTAGGGAGCCCGTTGGTACTTGGTATTGTGATGAGTGCAGGAGTACCCTCGGCAAGTAGAGTTTCAATTTGCGATCGAAGGTTGGATAGCTGGCGCGCTTCATTTTGTTTCATTCTTTTTCTTCGGTTGATATCCCCAAGGCGTTGGGTAATGATTTTTTTTTCCTTTTTCCTTTCTCCCCGGTGCTCGTATAGAAATTGGCATATATTGATGTACTGTTCTTGTGGTCGATACCGATCTGAAATCACTCTCCGTGACCGATTCTTCGCGGTTCCTAGTACGCATCGTATAACTCCCTTTACCTTAAATCCATCTTGGATGTTGCTTCTTCTGGATTATCTACGGATTGCAGTACGTGATGTAATTGATTGTAGTGTATTGTGTGTTGTTAGAGAGGTGTAGGGGGGGAAGCCACGGAGACATTACTAACAAATCACGCATCACAACACTAGTTAATTATCCAAGACCTGGCAAATTCAAGAAGAGGCAAAACGTATGAAAGCCTCACGGCCTGATTTGATGGATCTCAGAACAACCGTGTTTTCATGCCAAGCTAGGAGCCCAGAACCCAGTCAGGAGGAATCCAGAGTATCCTCCTTCACCCTCGATATAACCAGTCTCCGTCAAGAAGAAAAGGTATAGTATGTGCATGGTCTGATTCTGAGAGTGCGTCGGAGGAATCTGGAGAGAGATCGATCCAGCCAGAGCTTGTCTTCAAATATCGACTGTCAGGAGTGAATGACGAACTGTATGTATACCTGTGTGTAGATCTCAATAGAATAGTCTCCGCTCGGTTCTCAGTATCACTCGCATGTATCGGATCCCAGATGTTAAGTTCATCCCGGTCCCAACACTCCAAAATGGGCTTTAATTTGTAGAGATTAGTCTCCGATGCGTGATTACATTCGTATTTCAGAATTGTTATACTGTACGAAGTAATACTAGTACTATCGCACCCCAGCCCCCTCCATGCCTGGTCGGTCCAAGAGATTATGACAGCTAGTATCTCAGGAGGCATTACTGGCTAAACTGCCACCAATCGAAATTGAATAAATATCCAGTATCGTCGCCGGTGAAAATGAAGAAAAGGTCGTGAGTGGACTCAGTGTTGCTAATCGAGCAACTTGTGGTTTCCCACATCTCCCAACCTCCTGTTGGAGGGACAGAACAGGTTCCAATAATTTTTCCATCCTTGCTCTTCAGATGAAGCTCGATATTTCCACCATTGCTTGCGGACGACACTCGAGCAGAAAACTTCGATGGGCCTTTGCCGAATGCAACCCCCTTGACTTTGATATAGTCGTCATTATTGATGTAAGCGACATGAATGCCGCCGTCACTGGCACTTTCCACCTCTATACCATCGGACCAAGCAATCGTCTCCGCTTCCTGGCGGGAATATGTGTCCAATGTTCCAACCTGTGCAGGACCATCTGTGGACATGTTTATTTCGGGAATAGTACCATCTGAGTTGTACGCGAATTCTTCAACAGCCACAGACCTTGTGAAGCCGCCACCACCAGGGAGAGCTCCATTGTGGTAGAAAAAGTATGATTTGCCCTTGAAATCCACAATTCCCGGGTGATTTGTGAAACTAGCGCCCTGCGTCGGCATTATGACCCCTCGATAGGTCCTGGGTCCAGTAATGCTAGGACCCGTCGAGTATTGAATATTCTCGGAACAACAATTAGCAGCAAAGACCATGTAATAAAGATGACCGCGCTTATAAACCCATGGTCCCTCTTCAAACGCGGTAGCCCGCTCAGTCTCGGAACCTTCTCGACTGCCGAATCCCTCAACTTTGAGATTGACTTGGATGAGATCCCCGCTGTAGGAAATCATGTCCTCGTTTAACTTCACATACCAAAGACCGGGGTTTCCCCAGTAGAGATAGGCTTGACCATCATCGTCGATATATACTGTGGGGTCAATCTCGCCATTCTCGACCAGAGGAGATCCCAATGCATCTGTGTACGGACCAGTAATACTCTCACTAACGCCAACCCCGATGGCCATGGCGCCCGTTGTTTTATGACGAACAGGTGCATAGAAGTAGAATTTGCCATTCCGAGCAATGACCTGTCCGGCCCAGGCGTTGAGATCTGCCCAGGCAAAGGTCTTTAGGTCCATTGGCGAGCCATGGTGCTGCCAGTTAACCATATCTGCTGACGAGAACAGACGCCAATCTAGCATAGTGAACCAGGTGGAGTTATCTTCTTCATGTCCGGTGAAAACATAGACCCGGCCATCGTGTACCATCGGAGCCGGATCTGTTGTATAAATGTCCTGGGCGATTGGGTTGTCGGCGTGGACAAGACCCGCGCTGGCGAAGAGCCCTCCGAGGAGCAACAGGAAAGAAAACGTCAACATAGTGCCGAGTGCCATTTCAAAACGCTTCATTTATTCTGAGAATTTGTGAGGTATCTGATTATCTATGGATCATATGACTCTTCGGGTTGAAATAAAATGCGTTACTTGAAAATTGAGTATCACATCGAGGCTGCCTGGGTGATGTAAGATCTGTTATGCAACCAGGATTTGCGGGCAGTCAAATTCCCACTTTATACCAGCATTCATCAACCTTTCTCATTTCTTTCAGGCTAAAAATACAATTTATGGGTACGGTATAGATTTTGGCCCCCCCCCTCTTCACCTTGAGAGCCCAGTGCCAGGTTGAAGCAGTACCCCATATCGTGTACCCTGAGGGGTCTCGGCTGTCGCAGTTTAGCCGAATCATCCACCTGGTCATTGAATAATCCTGAGTATCAGCCAGGGGGGAATACTTGATTGTTTTTCAAGATGTCTAACTTGTAGAGGCAGCGATCATCTCAGATGGCATGTGTGCAAATAATGAAAATAATGAAGCCGGAGAACCCCATTCTTGGCATTGAGAGGATTCTCCGCAAATTGTCCGGCCTCTCTGGGAGCATTCGTCAATCAGCCTAATTAGTCGACATGGGACTGTAGATGTGCTTCCTACGAGGGAAAAAAAGAATACTCCGAGCGCCATCCCGCCTGTGGTGAATGACAGCCTTCGTCCCGCATGACATGCACGGTATGCCCTTTGCGGCGCCATTTCTGATAGTGATAGAGCTGAATACGTATAGATAGGTATGAGCTCGTGCACTTAATAGTAACAATCTCCAATTCCTGGCCGGTTTGCGCAAGCTTTGGCAAATTTGGCCACTGTCAGACGGTGTGGTGCCCAGGTGAGATTGATATATATACTGGCTGCCAATAGAGAAAGTCATCGTTATCTCGAACATCAACTTTTCAACTTTCACGCCCGGGGATGAACTGGCGGCTGACAGCTCTTACTTATTTCCTTCCATTTCTATATAGACATATCACTCACATTTATATATCCTCTCCTCCATCCTCAGTGTCGGCAATCTCTGGATCAGCTACGGTGGACATTGCACTGCCCCACTAAGGCTGCCAAGATGAGGCTCAACCAGCCCCATCGGATCCCGCTGCAAGATGACCAACGACAACTTGTCAACAACTTGAATGGAATAGTCAATCTATATACTGAGACTGCATATATACGTATATCCTTTTCTCTATATGGATTCGCCCACTCCCAACCCCAAGATAGCATTCATCTCCGGCCCCATCAGCACAGATCCGCAAGAGAACTACCTTCCCCTCCATTATGCCCCGACAATCGACCAAGCTGTCGAACGAGGCGACCACTTCGTCATTGGTCCCATCCCCAGCGGTGTGGACGCAGAAGCCCTTGCTTATCTCCTCGCCTGGCCCATTTCGCCAGACCGGATCACCATCTTCATGACTCCCTCCGAAGATGGGATGTGGGGCGCCAAATTTCGCGGATTCGGGGTAAAGGTTCATGTCGTGGAGGGTCAAATGCCGCGGGAACGAGATGCGGAGTTAACCAAAGCGAGTACATATGATATCTGCCGTGTACGCACCAAGAAAGAAGGAAAGGCATTCTATGGGAAGTCATGGCGTGATGGGTTCGTGACCAATACCGAGCGGAACTGGAAACGGCGGCGAGGTATTAAGGAGGATGTGGTGATTGAACCAGAGGAGATTAATCGTTCTCTGGAATTTGATAATGTGCGGTCCTCTGCAAAGGATGTTAAGACACGAATGGGTATTCTGGGTCGATGGGTGGAAAGTCTACGACGACATGATTAATGGGAATGGCAAAATAAGAAGCACTCTAGGCAGCTCTCAAGTCATTCCGATATCATTTACATCCGCGCTATTTCATGAAATGTTATACCATGCTCCCGAAGTGTGGCGGTACACCATGTGATAATCATATTCTTGGCCTATTAGGGAGTATCTTGAATAAATGGATCTCTGGATTCCCAATAACCGCAATATTAAACCATCACTGTCACCCAACAAACCATCCATATATCCGCGTGATTGTGGTGGTATCTTAATCCCTGAGCATATCTCTCGCCATCAAATAAGCCCTCCACTTAGCCTCTTCCTGCACAGGTCCAAGACTCGGAGTTTTATCCCAACCATGCTCACACTCCTCCATTCTACAAAGCACAACATCATCATCCCCACGACCAGTCTGCTCTTTAACAAGTGAAACAAACTGTTCAGCTTCCGGCGCCATATTATCCCTCGCAGCAGTGACAACAAGCAACTTCGACCCGAACCCCGAAAGATCCGCGAAAAGTGGAGAAATCCTTGGATCCCGCGCATCGACACCAACGGGAATATAACAACGATGAAAAAATCGCGCTATCCGGGCCGGAATCACTTTTCCCGCACTAGTATCAGGAGCGAACTTTCCCGCTGGATCAGAGGCCAGATCCACGCCAGGATAAAAAGTCAAGACGGATCGGAATGTAAATTTGGGCATGATTGCGGTTGCGGTGACGATGGCGAGATTTCCTCCAGAGCTGAAGCCGGAAATACTCAATCGGGTCAGATCGTATTTCTGTGGCTGTCCCTGGACCCATCGGATGACGTCCTCCGCGTCGTTCACGGCGGCTGGGAAGGGATTTTCGGGAGATAGACGATATTTCACGTCTATTATGGTGTAGTTTGTTTTTTGGGAAATGTGGTTGCAGAATTCATCGTCGGAGCCGAAGGCTGGGAATATCATTCCACTGCCGTGGAAGTTTATCAGGACTGGTTGTGGGAGTGATGGAGATGGGTCGTCTTTTGTGTATAAGTTTGCTGTGATGGTTCGGCCGACATCTCGACTTGGGATGTTTAGAGTCGAATGGGCTTGGCTTGGAATTGGTGCCGGGCGTGTTAGTTTGAACACGGCTCGTAGAAGGTTCACGGTGATTCGGAGGTAGATATTTCTGAAGAATAGCGTTATGCGCCACATGATTATGTTGGGAGTGGCACTCTGATGTATTTCGCTGGGTGGAGGTGAGAGTTTCGAGTTTGATGAATGAAATTGAGAACAAGTGATATCTTTTTTGATTTTATATCTGTGTTGATGAAGTAGAAATGGATATCCAACCCATCGGAGTCCAAAAAGAGCGGACGAGTGGAGTTGGGTCACCCAATCAGATACACCATCAGACGCGCTAACGAGCTGCAAACCCTTTTGGGAAATAAGCAGATCGTCAAATCTTGATAATATAGAAGCAATGTCTACGCTTTCTTCGTCCCATTTTCATGAAAACTGTGGGTCCGCAGAGTGGATGTGCTGGAGGCATGTTGGTGAGGTACTACGGCAATCCTTGGTAGACACAGACTCAAGCTCCTCAAGCCCCTACAGTGTCATAATATTATCTCAACTTGAAGGCCACTGTTTCAGAATCTGAATAATGAATGGGCACTCATATAACTGATGTTTCAATTAATGACATTGATATTTGCAAATGAAATCAAAGAATAACTCCAGCGGTACGAGGATACTCGACGTCTAGTACCTCAATATAGAAAAACACAAATAGAAACGAAAATGAAGTCATTGAATTCGTCTATCATATGGTCATCACCAGATACCTAGCAAGATATGGAAAGGTGAAGACCATCGTTTCAGCTCCATTCCATTCCCTTCCCTTTCATCTCTGGTCTTCCCTACTCTTTCTCCTCTACATTGTAAGTCGGTATGTTAAGCGAACACGAACTGGCTCGGCGCATCCACTCGAGCCTCCAGGAAGACAGCTATGCCAAAAATCAAAAAGCAACGCCAACGCTATGCACAGTTTCCTTTTTTGTTTTCCTCCTTCTGTATGCAAGTTGGCTGGCACCTTTGCCATGCCATGATGAGGGAATGAGAATGACGTATTCCGCATTCCTTTTCGGGGCTGTCAACCTCAACCACACCCGGGATGTACATAATGAGGACACTCGATGCCCAGCCAGGACAAGACACTCAGCGAGCAAATATTGGTTATGCTAGGTGCTGCTGACTGGTTGGTGCGACATGTAATGGAATGGGTGTGATTGAGTTGTGACATGCGGGTATCACATCACGTCAACTCATCAGAACCCGAGGACCTTCTCCTTCCACGGGTCGAAATATTCACAGGTTTCAGGGCTGATGGCCGCGCCGGGAGAGCAGAGCTTGAAGTTCGGGCAAGGTCCGCAGGGCGATTCGGTCATGCCGTTTTTGCCGAGAATATCGAGAGGTGCAGGGTCGACGCCTTCGGTGGGGGTCTTTCGGGCCTGAAGGGCTTTGATTATGTCGGGGTTTTTAACGGATTTGTAACAGCGGCCTTCGCCGAGAGATACGAGCTTCTTGTCGTAGCAGAGCATCTGGAGCAGTTGGATGACGCTCTCGCTGTGGAGTTGGACAGGCGTGATACAACTCTCGTTCACGGCTTTAGTTATGTCTTCCACGGAGGGGTAGCCCTTGTAGTTCATAGGGTAAGGGATGAAGGTGCGTTTCGGGGTTTCGCCGTTGACTTCGGCTTTGCCGGTGGCAGTCTTGACACGCTTGGCGCTGCGTCCGCGCTCACGATCGACGGTCACTTCGTACCAGCTCTTTCGGCTGACGGTGTACTCGATGAAGCCTGCCACGGTGTTGATGAAGTTGGTGTCGAGAACGCCATCTGTGAACCAGGCGCCTCCGGTAACGTCCTCGTTTGGTGCCAGGCCGGACAACATATACATCTTCCGGTTGGGGGCTCTGACATTGTGAATGCTTTTGATGTAGTTTTTGCCTTCGAGCGATTTCAGGCAGCGGTCGAGGATTGATTTATGCAGGTTGGTACGGTGTTGAATATTGCGTACCCAGACGCCGGAACGTCCAGTCGAGTGAACGACATTGTAGACCAAGGCCTCGTCGGCGTTAAGGCTGGAAAGTCTGCACGGAGAGAAAAAAAAAGCTGGTTAGAACTTGGTTCCTTCCTCGATATACCCTGTCCACCAAAGGCACCGAGTCAGCTAGTAGTATTACTTACTTTTCAGCGTCTTCACGGGCAATTACTTTCCATCCGATGCGATTCTGGCTCTGGTGGAGCCGGAACAGTTTCTGATCGACCAGAGACTGGGTGCACTGGAGGAGTAGCGCAACATCACCCTTGGGGACGACATCTAAGTCAAGGAGATCGGGCTGATAGAATAAAGTATCCGGGTCAAAGGTATCTGCACAAGCGTCGTAGAGCTTGGAGGCGAGCTTCGCGACACGGGAGTCCGCGGCGGCGGCCATTGTTGGAGGGGGGTTTTCGGTAACAGCTCTAGGGAGGAGGGAGGGACAGGATCATTGGAAGGGGTGGTTCATGATCGAATCGCAATGTTGCGAGATCTGGGCTGAGTCAGAGGAGCATGACGGCACTCTTTCTCTTTGTGTGATGATTGAGTCAAAAGTCGAAATGAATCACTGTGGTTCTTTTTTTCAGGCGGGGAGCCCCATTCCTGAAAGGGTTTAGTGTGAGGAGCTGTCAATGCCTGGAAGTTCAGGTGTTAAGGTGAGTCAGCGGGCCTAGACAGCAGGCGGTGAGGATGCAGCTGATTGTCATGGCAGAATATGCGAGTAGTCAGCAGTGATAACCACGTGACTGAGAAGTGTCACATGGTTTTATATGTCAGATGCCCCGTTCCATCACGTGACCGGTGTGGTCTTCGCCAGCTCCCGCACTATAGAGCGCCACTCTGGTAGAGACGAATTAAGAGAGTGTAAACAGTAACGTGTATATTGAAGCGATTACTCTCTCCAAAATGAAGATATCTGCCACCAATCCAAAGGGAGCTAGCTTGATATTCTAGATCTGACCAATCGTAGCGTTTTGCCTATATCAACCGCTTCCCCCACTACTATGTACTAGTCTGTACTAGTTACTTGAACTTGACCCCCCCCCCCCTCCCCCAATTTCACGTGGTCTTCTCTGAATCAAATATTAAAGGTGTGTACCAGTGGGGTCCAAATCAAAACTGTTCCAGTTCAACTTGGAAGATGGCATCTTTGAGCACCATTCCCACCGAGCTTCAATGCGTCATTTTGCGTCTGTTAGACCCCGTCGGTTTGATATCTGCCAGCCAAACCAGTCATCATTTTCGGGAGATCATCAAACCGGCCCGGAAACACCTTGTCGAAAGATTGCTCCAACTAGAATGTGACGAAAAAGAAGGTGGGACCATTCCACTCTTCAACTCAACGACCAACGACCTTAGTCCAGGATGGACAACACCCGAGTGGAAGGCGATGCGTTGGGCATGTAGCGGATGTCTTCGTCTTCTATCAGATGAATATTTTGATAACCACTCCATTCTCCGGCTGGCATACCGCAAGCCTGTCCCTGGTTCTCCAGCATCAGACCACTTCACAACTTGGGATTTAGCCCCGAAGACAAGCCCTTTCTTACCACATATCGGGCGTGAAAAGCGCAACCAGTCCGAGCAGTATATCGAAGCCAAAAAGGTTCGGCGAAGATACACAATTGCCCTTTCGAAACGCTGGAATGCAAATGCCTACGCCCACCGTGCCGAAGACACATATCATGAACTCTTAGACTGCGGGTGGGAAACTTTCGAAAACATGACAGTCTCCGAGTTCATCCATCTAGGCCCGGATGAGAAGGAAGTTATATTCAAAACAGAGGTAGAAGCCATCGAAGCCATGCGCTGCGGGTATAAACGACATCTACGCAAATGTCATGAATGCAAATATCAATCCGGTCAGCTGAAAACCACACTGAAGGGTAGCGACGGCACGGTCAAAACCTCATATACAACGGGCCGCCAATACAGGATTCCAACCGCCACAGACCGATACTATCCTCGATTTTGGGAAGAATTGACAAAAAAAAGGCCGGTCAATGACCCGCCGTCCTACGCAATCTATCGGGCTCATGTACGCGATCGTTTCCGGACGATGTACATGGTTCGATGTCCATATTGCGAGAAGTGGAAGGAACACCGGATGTTTGCTTCAGGTTCAGAAAGATCTACTCTCCTATGCAAAGGTCCTGGTCAGTATTTCGGCGGCAGATTCCAGCATGATATAGGCATCGATAGCAACGCTAACATATTAATAGATGGACTCTCGGAAAGAGAAATCGACGAACTACGCTGTTATGAATGCTACGCTAAGAAGTACGGGTCAGGTCCACTTGGAATAGTGTTGATGAATGACCTCAAGAAAATCCTCCTACAACAAGCCTCAGGACTTACATATAGACTGGGTCATGGCTTCCACTGTCTCCTCTTCGAGCCAGAACTAAGGAGGTTCCCCAAGCAAATGAGAGAAGAAATCCGCAGTATCGCCGGAGAAGCCGATAATATTGCCAAAAGCAAAAAAGAATTACTCACTGGTGAATATTATACGGCGGAGGAACTGGGGTTTCTTCGGGAACGGTATGAGATGTGGATGGAGATGAGGGCGCGAGTACTAAATTCAAAAAAAGCCCATCTCATTCGGGATCGTGAGGAGGGGAATTCGAATAATTGGTTTCATATTTGGACAATTATGTATACCGATCTGGAGGATTTCTATAAGTGGTTGCTGGCCGTTCATGATGAGGTGGAGAAGAAGCCTGAGAAGTTAGCGGAATGGGCTTTGCATGGATCGATTAGAGAAATGCCTCCTGTTTGCACTGAGTCGTATGTTAGACTTCCGTGGTAGATATTTTGCTACTGAATACCTCATATGACTAGCATTTTTGAAAGAGATCAGGGTATGTCTATGAATAGGCGGGTTTAATAATGGGCATGCTTAAATACGTCTATAGGCATGCCTATTTAGATATGCCTATAGGTTTGCACAGGTAAGAGGAAATAGGGCTACCTTTTTGGTCTGGTTGCTCGTTGTCTATTGCTCTGCTTATTATTATCTGATCTCATTATTCAATATTTCGTACGACACGAGTATCTACTATTCTACCTTCACCCTTAACGAGTCGTATATCCACCGTTCGCAAAGATCGTCTGTCCGGTGATCCAAGGGCCTTCCGTGCACAGGAAGCGGATGATTGGCGCGATGTCCTGCACCATCGTCAACCGATTGCCCATGCCGTTGGCTTTGTGGAATGCCACCGCCTCGGGCTCTTCTTGTGGATAGAAGAACGCTGTATTTCATAGATATTAATGGTTAGCCGTTGGCTGTCTTTGAAAGCGGAACCACTTACGAGTGTCCATCGGGCCTGGAGCCACATTGTTCACGCTCACGCGTCGTGCCTGCAGCTCCTTGCACACACCACGAGTAAAGTGCTCCACTGGTGCCTTAGATCCTGCATACGAGGTGTAATGTCCAGTAAAGGCACCCAACAGAGCGGTCACAATGCTGATGATTTTGCCTTCGTCGGAGACGTGGGTAGCCGCAGCCTTCAGGATGAAGAAGGCAGCCTTGGAGTTGATTCTGTGATATATTTACGGTCAATTAACGGAATTGTCCTGTAAAAAATGTGAAGGGCAAGCAATTCGAGGACCCTCGAAGCAGAGAAACTCACGCAAACATCGAATCGTACTCCTCTTCGGAACTCTCGGTGATCGGCTTCTTTAGCACCTTGCCCACCGTATTGACAACGATGTCAATCTTTCCAAAGTCCTTGAGCACCGACTGGAATAATTTATCCACATTTCCCGCGGTGGTCAGGTCACCTTGGTAAAAAGCGATCTTCTGGTTGGGGTACTTCTGTCGCAACTCAGCTTCCAGTGATGTGGCGCTGGCTTTGCTGCTCTCGGAGTTATAGTGCAGAGCTAGGTTTGCTCCAACGCCAGCCAATTCTCTCGCTGACTCTGCACCGAGGTTCTTAACACCTCCAGTGATCAGTGCGACTTTGCCGTTCAATGCCATAGTGTGGAAATATCGGATATGATCTTTCCAAAGAGAACCAAGTAGAAAGGTGGGGAACGTGGAATTGAGATTTCCGCGAAATAAAAGGATCAGTTAGCACGAGAGGCATCGCAATCCTTTATAGCCCTCCGACTGCATTAGGTCTTTGTGCAAGGCCTACGAGTAGCTGAAAACCCCATCCTCTATAAGCACGGTTACATCACCCGATTCCCACAGAAAATTGTCATTTGTCGAGCTAGCAAACAAAATTTCCCAAAATTCAGATACGTACCGGAAAGATCAATTCCAGCTACATCGGATCTTCGAACTGGATCTCGAAATGGGGTGCGTGATGCTCACGGCCAATGGGTTTGCTCTCTCGAGCTGCGCCGTGGGGAATGCAGCGGTGGGTCGGTGCCCACACCGTCAATCAGAGGCGTCATAGAGTTCGGTTCGGCTGTACGAGTGAGATGCGAATTAGCAGTGCCGCACTCGTATTACAATACTGCGCGCACCCCACCTGGCGGTGAGGGTGCGCGTCACAATTAGAACAATTGTCAGAATTAGAACAAATTGAAACTATTTACAACGTTTTTCAACGCACTGGATTTGAATCGAACCAAAAAAGTAATCCACCCTCTCGGGCAGCTTTTTCCGCATCTAATGATGCCTGCTTTGCCTGTGAAACCTCTGTTGCTGTTGGTTGGTTGAGCTTGTGGCCTATTCGTTTTGCAGCTTGTTTTGCGACCTTTGTTGCTTCCTTCTCCTTTCTGGCTTTAATTGAGTAGTTGGCATCACGTACACTCAGTATATTAGAGCCAGAGAGTGGCTTTACCTGTCGCTTGTGAAACTGGCGTTGTAGAGGACGACGTGCAGCTGATATACGACGAACAATATCTTTGGTTAATGCTGCGTGTTCTATGATAACACCCTGATGTTTCAGAACTCGATTTAACCCTCGCTGAAGCTTTGGGGATATTCTCTCTTTTCTGAATAGCTTCTCCAGCTTCCGATGATTCCTTTTGGCAGCTTGTATTGATTTTGGAGGTGAATTCTCAATACTGGATGATCCAGGTTCAGGAGGAGGTGGTGTATGCTCTTCTCCGTGTAGTCGTAGCTGAGATGTATCGATATCAAGGTCCTCAGAACTTATTGGAAGCTTCATACGAAGCTTCTTAACAATATCTTTGCCATTGACTGGGAAAATACCACGTTCTTTAAACGAATCTCGGATAATTCGAGTGTTGAAAGTACGGGCGCGTACTCTGGTGATGACTCTTAAGAACTCTGATTTACCAGCCGGCATACCTGCAAAGTACGACATCTCATTATTAACCACCTTGAAATGCTGTTTATAAGCCAAAAAAGGCTTGCCATCAAGAGGCTGAGATATATGAGTTGTATGAGGCTCAAATGCGATTGGTAAAATCTCATATTCCTGACATTTTTCGAGGAATTCAACCGTAAGATGAGAGTTATGACCATCAAAGATCATAATACGCTTCTCATTAGGTTCTACTCGCTCTTTTGTTGCTTCCTGGAAGTGACCAAGCCACTCAAGAAGTAGTTCATCAGAAATCCAGCCATTTGGAGAGACTGCTGTAAGTGTACGTGGTGGAAGGCCCTCGCTGTTGTCATACCAAACTTCTTGGAAGGTGGTACCTTTAAAAACGAACAACGGGTCCATAAACCAACCATCTGCAGCAATACACTCTAGAGCAGTAATAGTCTCTGAATGCTCGTTTTCTCCAAGATCAGGCCCTCCTTCCTGCCCTAACACTTTTCGATTCTTGCCTTTTCCTGGTTGGAAACCACATTCGTCAAAGTTGTATACCAACCGTGCTGGGGTATTCTTTTTGATCACATTTTTCAGCTTCATATACCACACATCGAGCTTCCATGCGTCCTCTGCCTTAATACGCTTATACTCCTTCGTTCTCTGCTTCACTGGCGATAGTTTCACATCCTCTGGCAAACGCTTAATAAAGCGATAAGCCCAGCGATCGCCTAAGATATGATCTGAGCCTGCGCGAACTAACGAGAGCTGCGCCATCTCATGGAGCAACGCCGGGGTTACTGGCATATGATATTTGTTCAATTCCACAATCCACAGAATCAAGGCTTCCTCCTGAGTATTATCAAGAGCTCGATTTTCAGGTTTTGGTGCTGTACGAGGCTGTTTACCCTGGCGGATGCGTCCCCGCAATACCCCATATGAAACACCATATTGCCTCGCGATTTGCGACAAATTCGGGTTTTCAAGGAGACTGGCGGCTTCGCAAGCCTCAGCCACACGAGATTCGTCAATTTTGGGTCGATACGGCATAATGGTGGATGGTAATAGCTTCACGAAGGCTGGTTGTGTGAATTTGTTCTAATTCTGACAATTGTTCTAATTGTGACGCGCACCCTCACCGCCAGGTGGGGTGCGCGCAGTATTGTAATACGAGTGCGGCACTGCTAGATCCCTGTCTCACATTTTTCCCGATCAGACCTGTCAGTCGCGGGGTTAACATCGTAGACCGTCGAAGACCATTTATTTAAATCCGAAAGGATTTGGCTGGTGCTGTTATTGCTTTGGGTCCTGGTGTTTCGCAATCAATTCTTCCAGGGTGTATCAAGTGAAGTGGGTAGAAATCCTTGCAATTACTAAAGTAGAGAAAAACAAGTAAAAAAAGGTCAATCTTCCCGTATCGCACATATTGAACTATCTCATATTCCGAAGCATCTCAGTTGACATGTTCAAGTTCTCCTCTCAAGTTTCCAAAATTCAAAATGTCGGCTTCCCCTTTCCATTGAGTTTCCAAAGTTCAATTTTCTTCATACCATTTAGCTGACGGTAATATCAGCAGATCCACTGCTGAAGTAGCCCTCGGTAGCAACAATCATATAGTTGAAAGACCCCATATCCATACCCAGGTTCTCCCAGGCAGTGAAGTGGTTGCCAGTAGTGACGGTTCCCTCGGAACGCTTGTTCTGACGAACAGACCAGTACTGGGTGAAGGTAGCAGTACCTTCAATGGAAGGTTGGTTGACTCTCTCGCTGGTATAGATATCGTAGGTGCTGCCGTCGCTAGTAACAGTGCCCTTCTTCGTTGCACCAGAAGAGGGGTTGTAGGTTCCAAAGTCTTCGACGATGTAGAATTCGATGAGGGGGTTTTGGGTCCAACCGTAGACGGAGAGGTAGCTGTTTCCTGTTGAAATTGTTAGTTTTATGGAAAGGATTTAAGACATTTAGTTAAGAAAAATACATACCGCTGGGGTTGTAGGAGCCGGAGAAGCTCACCGAACTAAAGAAATGGGTCAGTCTATGCGTCAATTCAAAAATATACTGGGCAGTGATAAATCCTACCGGCTGCCACCAGGGTTCCATCCCTTTCCACCGACAAAGTTTCCATTGTCACCAGTCCAGGTCACGCTGTATTCACCAGCGGCGCCATTGGAATAGGTGACATCGCCCGAGCCGTCCGTCCAGAACGAGTAGTAGTAACCATTGCTGGTTCCAGTTGAGCTGGATGTGTATGTCTCTCTCTTGGCGAGCTCGGAGCTGGCACTGAGGGCTCCAGCAGCCAGAGTGAAGAATGAGAGCAGGGAAGTCAAAGACGGCATTTTGGTTCGTGAAGCTGGTTGAAACTGTTGTGCTGTTCTAGCTGTCAAAATCGAGGCGGTATCACCTTTATATCCCAGATCCACATCCAGGGCCGAGTCTTCAGGGATAGCGCCATTTCCACAGACTAACCCACGGAGTAAAGCGCCACCTCTTCAGCCAAAACAGCCATGTTTTACCGGCGGATAAATGGACCACATTGGCATCGCAGGAGATCGGCATTCACCACGGTTTACACTATACACATCCTGTGGCTATAGTCCTGCAAATAGGCTAGGTTAGAGAACTCACAGTCCTCAATTCATCCGATTTAAAACTTCTGTTTCCCCAATCCCTGAATCGTTGTCCGGATGGGGATAGAGCCGCGAGACGGAGATGGACAAAACAGTAATGGTGTATATTAGTTTCATCCACTCTGCCGAGCTTTAGGCGGGAAATCTATGACCCCTAATCCGTGCTTAAGCATAAGTTGTTTCATTCTGCTTCAAGTGCTCTTTTGCTTTGACTTTATTGGCTATTCGGTCTTGAAACTTGTCGCTGCTTCATGTTGACATGGCATTTCTCCACTTTTTAGTGGGCTTTCTGCCCCACATCGTTGCCCCTGTCTTGTTACACATTATTTTATGATCTAGCTAACTACGAGTATGTCAGAGGCAAAGACATTCAGGTCTATTTCCAGAGGCTAGCCGGATGTTTAATATAAGCTCCGCTCCATATCGATTCTGGGCGCGTCCGTCTCATTTGGCTAGGCTTGGCATTTATTAGGTTGACGTGTGGAAAGAAGATGAAGAGAAGAATAAGATCATCCGATGCACCTGGCGTGCCTGTGAATACTTTTGTGCATATTGGACCTATCTTATTTGAAATAATATGAGCTGACAAATTTCAGGATACATTTAGGTCTCCACCATGATTCAATCCAAAAAGATATTCTCACTTTTCCTATTCACAACTTCACAACCCTCTAATTCAACCAGCTCCACCCTCACCAAACTGTGCTGTAGATACCTAGGTATACATATCTCTTGAGTGTGTGTAGTCTCATTCATGAAAAAATGGTTTTGATCAAAACCTATCCTACCCCAATACTCGTGCTCCTTGTCACACGGGATGCAGCCAAACAGCGACCGATGCACTCAAACGAATATCCAGTACGCACCATTCCATAATCATTCTCTTGTTTATGAGGGCAAATGCATCCCACAAGTTGATGTCTTTTATGGGTACGGATTTCAAAGCGGATCCGCTGGTGATGTACAGATCGGCCGATCGGATATATCCATGGAAGGATGTGCTTCCCCACATCCCCAAGAAGAGGGAACCCCGGCCGCCAGCAATGTAACAACATAGAACCATACATTTCAAAAGAGGGGTCGCATCAGCTCGGTAAGCTTTCAAGGTCAGCTGCCTCGGTACTGAAAAGACTATACTTTGTGGTTCTTATAGCCTTAGAGAAGACAGTTGAAGCTAGGGTTGTCGACTCAACTTCTTCATCACTTGCACATTGCACTTGCACCGATTGTTCACCATGGGCTCTATAACCGAAACTCTGCAATTTGACATCCCCGAGCTTTGTAAAGCTGGGGTTGTGGTTAATGAGGGGCCTGACTTTCGGGTTGAGGTGCAAATGGTGCCGGTGCCTGAGCCCGGTATGTGTTAGCCGGAATGATTTCTTTACACGGAAGACGGCACATGCTGAGAGAGGTTTATTAGGACCTGATGATATACTTATCCGACTCAACTTTACCGGACTTTGTTCATCAGATATTCATCTCATGCAGGGAGATCTTGGTATGCCGCCCATGTCAACATTTGGCGTGCGATCTCCGGGCCACGAGGGTGCTGGTATCGTAGTGAAGGTGGGTGCGAATGTAAAGAATTTCAAGCTGGGCGATCGAGCTGGAGTCAAACCGATTGTTGATACTTGTGGAACGTGCGCTATGTGTTTGGTCGACAAGGAGACATACTGCAAGGCAGCTATTCATAGTGGCCTAATGACGGCTGGTTAGTGAAGAAAAAGGACACTGATGTTGATAATTCTTGTACTCACTCTCTCATTCAGGCACATATCAGCAATACCTAGTTTCACCCGCCCGGTATGCATCACCAATCCCAGATGGAATTCCCGACGAAATCGCTGCACCGATCATGTGCAGCGCAAGTACGATCTATCGATCGCTCGTCGAATCCAACCTTCGTGCCGGATCCTGGGTAGTATTTCCAGGGGTGGTGGCGGCGTCGGAATCCAGGGTGTACAACTCGCCAAGGCAATGGGAATGCGACCTATCGTTGTAGATACCGGGGCCTCAAAACGCGAACTGTCACTTAAAATGGGAGCCGAGGCTTTTGTGGACTTTATTGAAACTGATGACTCCGCAAAAGCAGTCATCGAGATTGCCGATGGGGTTGGAGCCCACGGTGTCTTCGTCACTGCACCTGCGGCGTATAAGACTGCCGTCTCCTTCATTGGAAATCGGATTGGTTCTATGATAATGTGTATTGGGCTACCACCTGCGGGCACGATGATTTTAGGGACAGATCCTTGCGAATTTATTTTTAAGAATCTTAGTATCAAGGGGACCTTGGTCGGTAGTCGAAGTGATACGGCTGCAGCGTTGGATTATGCGAAACGGGGTATGTTACATCAGATTTGCGAGGTTTATCCTATCAATCGGTTGCCAGAAGGTGTCGAGAAATTGCGCAAGGGGCAAGTTGCCGGGCGCATTGTGGTGAATTTTGATTGGGAGGAATAATTTGCATATTGTTGATGTATGGTATATCGTTTCCTAGTTAAACGAACTTCAGTTTCTCGGCCACACAAAGGTATTTTGACATAAAAGCAGTTTCAGAATGTGAAAAAAAGATTGATCCCCACTAACATTGGTTAATATCAGACGAATGCCAAGAATTAACACGAAAAGGAAGCAAAAAATGGACTCGCGGGGAATCGAACCCCGGACCACTCCCATGCTAAGGGAGTATTATACCACTAAACCACAAGCCCAATTGGATGAAAGGATGGGTACTTTTTGGTTATATGAATTAAAAGGAGCAAAAAAAAGGTCCACTACGTTCAAAGGCATTTTATTCTCTCACAAAATACAACATTATAGAGGTCTATAGAAGAAATTTGATCCTGCCATCTTCCCACAATAACCTTGAAATATTGATCATTTTCTAAACCTACTTCTAGTGACATGATAACTTTTACTATCATTGAAAATTCATCGACATAATGGCACTACTACCTTGGACTCAGAAAATATATTTCCACTGCCCAGATGCCAGTGGCACCCACTGGCAGGCATATCCGCAAAGACCCCAAACTCCCGGGCTTGAATCTTCCTAGTACTACCTACGCAGTGATAGCTCTGTGACCCTGTGAGTTATTTTCTTCCGAACTTGAAATTTCGAAGACTATATTCAAGTTGTCGAAATCGCCCGATTGTGGCAGCTGGCCAGCAACCTTCATGGTTGGAACATGAATCCTACTATGATTAAGGAGCTACTACTCTGGAACTTCAAATTTATGAATAGAGATGGCTCGCGTCATGAATTGAGCGTCCAGAGACACTAAAGTGGAAGCCCTCCAGGAAACTGAATGACAGGAGAAGTACTAGTATTGCTAGGCATAAATACCAAACAAAATCTGCCATCGACTACTACTAGTAGTATGAACCCATGTTACTAGATTGGACTTCTCTACTCAGCCTTAAAGCACTCCAAGCTCGCCACAATGAATGACCTGCTGAATCTCTGTGTCTTCGTTCCGGTCTCGGAATTCTTAGGGACTTCGATAGTCCAGTCGTCACCTTTGCAGCCCGGATCCCTGGTCTTGTTAGCCATATTCGTTGACTACTTTTCATAGTTGTAACATACGTGTAAAAGATGCACTTGGGGCGATCATCCACTTGGCTGACATCAATGCTTCTCACCGAGGTAGTGCTAGTATTTTATTAGCAATAGCTATGTGCACTGGGACGAGGAATCATACGGGTTGACAGTGTCGTAGCAGCCAGTGTCGGAGAAGATACTGATTTGTTCATCTTCTCCATCGACGTATCTGATATTCACCTAAATATTTATCAGCTTCGGTGATTCATGGCAGCAGAGTAGTTGTTCATATAGTACATCCGCAGCCACACCATCAGCCAAGGCGGGCGTGATGTATGTAACCAGAGCAAGGCAGAAAGGGAGCGAGAACTTCATATTGAATGAAATGAGTGCGAACTTGAAATTAAGCAAGTATGCAGAGGTAGGATGACTTCTTATTTATAGCCCAAGAACTAGCAAGGGGCGTAAATAATGTAGCTGATCGTCGTAGATTGTTCAGCTGGCTACTCTGTACCTACACAAAATCTCGTCGCTTCTCACATTCACCGCTACTCTAAGTTGAAATTATGCATGCACATACTCCATATAAAGAACTCAAACCCACCTCCACATTTTCAGGCACAGAAGTACAGCTATGTAAGCCGAGAAAATGCAGGATACCAATAGTTAAAGTAAAAGCCAATGGGATGATAGATCCTCATGCCGATCTTATCCGGTTGGAAAATTTTGTACTACATCTTAATTTTCCCTTACCAGCAGTACTTGATTTCCATGACATGATCGTGTCCGAAGCTGTCGATCAATCTGCCGATATTTTCCCCAGCCTCTCAACCCTATTGATCGTTAGCTCCGGGTGGCTTCTATATGGCGTTTTTATTGGTATTCACATGGAACAGTACATTTGAGACATTTACACTCTCTGGACAGTACATATATTGGGTCCGCTGCGGTTGAGATCACAATTCTGGTTTAATATGATTGCAGATACTAAGCCAATATTTCTCCTCAGTATAACCCCTAGTTGCATCGAGCACTCAGCTGTTGAGATTACAATAGCTCGTGCTATGCACGCTAAAACGGATTCAATGGGCAGGGAGTGTAAACAGCAGAAAAAGGATTAATTGGAGGGGAGAGGAGAGAGAGCAAGCATTTAAAACAGAGCAGCGAAGAAAAGGGGAGGAGGAGCCGGCAGCATAGGCAGTGTACAGAGTACCACTACAACACACGGGATTTAGGTGCATAGATGACTCTAGCCATATGTAATTCGTCTGGGGAACACTCTTAATTTTGGGACGCTGGCGGTCCCCTTTTCTGCCGACCTAAATTGCCTTGGCTTACTGAGCCAGTTGCTCCTAATTATGAAGCGCCGTCCTGCGACCGCGCACGTGGAACAGAATATCAACTTGAAAGTCTCGAATATTTCTAGGCAGCCAAGATTCCAGCGGCGTGAAAAGCTAAAAAAGGGCGACTATATTGTCCTCTTACTGCTTTTGGAGTCTAGACCCCACGAGAGACACGCTCAGCCACTGACTTGGCGCTTTGCCCCCGGCGATCCCTGGCGTAATCATCCATTCTACTTTTGAGACCATGGGTTAAATCACCCCTCTCTCGACGATTTCCTTCAATTTAATTCCTTCCTTCAACGATTGCTCGCTAATTAATCCGTCTGCGCACCGACCGTCACTTTCTTTGAGAACTTTTCTTTGTGCACCCCTTAACTCAGACACGGTGCATATCAAGGGATCGTTGTTTAGCCCCCGCGATCGCGATCGCTATTGCGCACGCGCCGACACATTGGAACGTCATTCCCCTTCACCAGCAGGAGAATCGACCTTTCGCCTCGCTGGAGTGCACTCAATTGCTTGGCGGAGAGTTATATACTGAAGAGGTGCCGAAATGAATTTACAAGATGTGCTAGCGCGCATCTCTAAGCTCCTCGTGCTATCATACGTGATCGACTGGGTCTTCATAATGTACGTCAACTGCCATCGCATACCCACCCGGTGCCCTTGAGAGAGCATGAACTGACAAACGGCCACAGTGGAATTGCGCTCATCGGATATGGATTTTCCAAAGTCGACCCTAGCCAACACCCCTTCTCCCTAACCGACCCGACTATCGCCTTTCCATACAAAGAAAACGAGACCGTATCGACTGCAACTCTGGTACTTGCTGGATTGTTGGCCCCTGCCGTGATAGTGTTTGCCGGAGCACTCTTCATCGTTCCCGGGACAGCCGCTGAAGGTGGTCCGCGGCCTTCCAAGTCGCAGATCCTACGGCGAAAGGTCTGGGAATGGAACGCGGGATGGATGGGTCTGGCCGTGTCGCTGGCAGGCGCATACATGGCTACTCAGGGATTGAAGAGTCTAGTCGGAAAACCACGTCCGGATATGCTTGCGCGATGCAATCCGGATCTCAACGCCATTGAGGAGAATCTTGTCGGTGGACTTGGTGTTGCCGGAGCACCCATAATCGTCACCTGGAAGATCTGTCAAGATCAATCCGATTTCCTCAGGGTGGATGGGTTTGCTTCTTTCCCATCGGGCCACGCCTCCTGTAAGTCTTACATCAACTTAACTGGCAGACTTAATAAGTACCGGAGGATTATATGCTAACGGGCCATAATTCAGTTGCGTTCTCTGGACTAGCCTACCTGACACTATGGTTTTGCGCCAAATTCTCCGTTGGCTTCCCATACTTGTCATATTTCCCAACCGAAGGCCAAAACTATTCCGACGACCGTACATCAGTGAGAACTCGTGGTGCCGCACCGCCAGTTCTGATGATGATATTCGCACTCGTACCTACCGCAACCGCAACATTTATCGCAGCATCGCGCTGGGCTAATTGCCGACACCACGGCTTTGACGTCTTGTTTGGCTCTGCGCTGGGAATTCTCTTTGCCTACATTGGATTCCGCATGTACCACCTCCCGATCCAGCGTGGAGCTGGTTGGGCTTGGGGACCGCGGGCGCGCCGTCGAGCTTTCATCCGAGGCATCGGATTCCCCAGTTCTTTGGGCATTGATAGTTGGTCTTATGCCCCTGAAATCGAGCAGGGTGGTCGGAACGGCATTCATGCAGAGTCCAGTGTTGTTCATGATAATAGCTACGTGGAACGTGAGGCTGAGAACATTCCCATGCAAGAACAACCGGCGCATAGTCCGGTTGAAAGGGTATAGGAGGAGATGGGGAGAAACACTTATTTAACGGGCTCATAGATTGCTTTTCACAAGCAGCGCCCTTTCTCCGGAATATTCCATTTGGCATACAGGCGTCGACACTATATATAATAAAGCCGGTATAATTATATGAATATGACATACGTACTCTCACATAAAGAATTCAGCATAGCTGCCACTGTTCATTATAGTTCTTCCGTCTCAATACACTAAACAAGCTTAATATACTCATCAGATCTAATTGTGGCTCTATCGAATGGCCCGATGATCTGGGAAACTATCCGCCTGTTCTATCCGATCTATCCGCGCAAACCATTCAGCGGTATGGGGTGTGAGATCCAGTTCTCCTACTCCATTGCAAGACAGTATCCCTAGACACCCTCAGTGATTGTGCCTCATGAAGTATGAAAGGGGGAAAAAGAAAAAGCAATCAAAGAGGTCAATGAGAGAGTGGATGTATTCCATAATTTAGTACCTATCCTAACCGGATGGTCATGAATTCTGTCACGAATGTACAGCTTTGGCTGTATTTGACCTAGCTACTGCAGCGATGTATCCATAAATTGTTCTCTCTGAAGCAAACAGGACGATGGAACTATGTGACACTCTTCCGCGTTCCATAAATGAAGGGTTGGAAAAGGGTTGTAAAAGGGAAAGGGAAGGGCAAAGGGGAACGCAAACATGGGAGGTTCGAGAGGTTTGAGAGGTTCGATCAGCGCCTATACCACGCCCGGGTTATCTTTGTCCGGCGCATCTTCTTTTGTAGCAGAAAGATGCCCTGCAAAAGTGCCTCCGGAGTTGGGGGACAGCCAGGGACATAGATATCGACAGGGACGAGACGATCCACCCCACGCACAACGTTGTAACTGTAGTGGTAATATCCACCCCCATTCGCGCAACTACCCATGCTGATGACCCATCGGGGCTCGGGCATCTGGTCATAGAGGAGTCTTAAAGCCGGTGCCATCTTGTTGGTCACGGTGCCGGCCACTATCATCACATCGGCTTGTCGGGGAGAGGCGCGGAAAATGATGCCCAGTCGGTCTTGATCGTAGCGTGGCATGGAAGTGCCCATCATTTCGATTCCACAGCAGGCGAGCCCGAATGACAAGGGCCAAAGTGAGCCCTGTCTGGTCCAGTTGATCAAGTCGTCTGCCTTTGTACTATCATTGAAAATGAAGTTAGAACCAGGCGAGATATGATGATAACGTGAAAGCACTTATATAGAGAACTCACAGGACATATCCAGCAGCTCCGTCCATTGTATCGTTCGACGGCAGAAGAGAATCTGAAGGTTTGTTCGGGTTTGACAAGTTGCTGTGACACCGTACTGGCAACGCTCTCGGAAAGAGAAGGCACTGTGACGGCTTTGTGATGATCGATCGACGGAAGATGCCTTGAAGGGGGGCAAAGATGGTCATTTTCGATGAATCAAACGAGTGTTGGAAATGGAAGTTTGATGTGAAAACGAAAGACAAAGACAGAAACGCAGAATGTGATGGGGAGAGTAGTAAAGAAGGTCTTGAGTTGGAAGAAAAGTATAGTCAGTTACACCTGCTCTGCCTAACAATAACAATAGCCAATGAGGGAAAGTAGAACCATAAAATGACCAATCAAAGGCATGAAAAAACGGCGATTTGGTGGGTCCCAAAATGACCGATATTCCCGAACTTGTAAACGCCGAACTTAGCCTCTGACAAACACCAGCGATTGTCATTCCAGATTATGAAATGGCCGGAAGTCGGCCATCAGTCAAAGTGGCATGTACAGCCTGTCATGATAGGCGAGTTAAATGTGATAGAAGTGAAGGTGTCTCGTGCTCCAACTGTCGAATTGCCCGACGTCATTGTGGGCCGATCATCTCACGACGTGGACGGTATGCGTATGCCTCGCCTTTGAGAATTATTTATAAAACTAATATAGAATCAGAAAACGCAAGCTGCCTCTGATACCTACTAAGGGTGGGTTTAGCAGCAGCGCCCAGGAGAATGCCCGAAATGAACACCACCCCGGAAGCTACGCTTCGGGCCCGCCGAACAGCCACTATCCCGAAGAACAACAGCAGGAACCGTGTTTCCCGGCCCAGGGACCCAATGGAAAAACGCCATATATTGGAGATAGCTCTAATTTGAACTACTTGGTCCAACAATTCGGGAACCCCTTCGGAGGTACGACAGATATAGGGCCACTCGAGGACCGCTTGCAAGGGGCAATGCTGGCTCGGCTGGGAAAATCGACGGAACAAGAGATTAAGAGAGTTCACTCAAATACTAATGAGAGACTTCAACAAGAGGGTGCCTTTGATCTACCCCCACCGGAGATCAGCGAGAAGCTTCTCAACGCCTACTTCTTTCATTCGCTTGCGTCGTTGCCCGTGATTGACAGGTCACGATTGCTTGAATCCATCAATCAGGGCACAGCCTCAAACTTGCTTTTGAACGCCATTTACCTTGCTTCTACCATATATTGCTTAGATGAAACTATAGCTGATGCTGGGTTTGTGTCTCGTTATGTGGCTAGCCTCACGTTCTACCGGAGAGCAAAATCCCTTTACGATGCCGGATATGAAAACGATGCGGTTGCGACCATTCAAGCAACATTTCTCATGTGCTACTGGTGGAGTGGTATTTTAGAGCCCAAAGACCCGTGGTATTGGCTTGGAATTTCGGTGGGAATGGCGCAAGCTCTGGGCATGCACCAAGAGTGGGTTGAGTCCGTCGCAACCTGCGTGGATACCGCTGAATTTTCGATAGGAAGTCATACATGCGCCTGAGCGAAAAAGACCGGAGAATATGGCGGAGACTATGGTGGACGATTTATGTGAGTCAACCGCAACAGTTTTGTCCCCGTTTCCTTTCGGCCTGCTGACACGGGTATAGGCCATGGATGTCAACCTGTCCATGCTGTTGGACCGCCCACCACGCGTACAGGGAAGGCTATACAACGTGAAACCTCTAGCGGAGGATGATTTTGAACAACCGACAGACTCTGCTGATCAAGAGACCTTCGGCGAAACTCTCAACGCGGCAAATCGCTTCACTATAAATGCCGTCCAACTGGCTCGGATAGGTATCGGCGTTTTGATTCCCACTTCGAGACTGTTTTCTTTTTGCTAAGAGCGATTCTAGTGGATCAATTTTATACGATTAAGTTCGATGAGGCAAATTCTCACTCTCAAGATGTCTGCTTGAACCAGATCTCAAGGTGGCCCTCATCACTCCCAGCGGAATTGCAAAACGTGTCGATGAACAGCAGCCCTTGGGCAATGATTACGAATCTTTTGTACCAGTCAGTAACACGCTCAAGTATTACTTGTATAGGAATTTCTGCTAAAAAGCATCAGGGAATATCAGCTTCTGTTGCACCGGAGCAATCCTAGATTCTCCCACAACACTGGACCAGGCACTCCGACATTCGAAATATGCACGCAAATGTTTCATATATTGGAATTCGTTGTCGCAAATGATCTCATATACCCAGCAGCTGCCAGCATGTAAGTTGCGCTACACTGGTAATATTTTATGTCCAAGATACTGATTATGTTTCTCTTAGTGTTGCACCCGTTCTGTCAATCCTTTCCATCCATATTGTCAACATTTATCGAGGCAACGCTGGCATCAAAATGATTTCCGAGAATAGAGCACGCTTCTGCATGGTAATACTCGAGAAATTACTTGATCGATTTCCAGTGGTGGCGTCTTTCTACCCCATTTACGAGGCCCTCCTAAAACGATACGCCGTGGATGTCCCTGCGTATGATGAGAAGACCAAGACTGGACCTGCAGTCTCGGAAACGGGGCATCCTTCAGACGGCATGGCCGGTCTACCCGTAGAGGAGTGTGGTGCCGAGAATATTGAGGAAAGCAGCAGTTCGTTACTGCAAGACCACACAAGTGCGATATTTCCATTCCCACTTCCATTTGGAAATCTGTTTGAGGATTTCCTACTCAGTTCCCCGCCTCCCGAAAGCTAGGAGAATTCTCAAAAGGCAAATATTAGTCTTAACTTTATCAATACGAGCGAGCCCCGAGAAAGAGAACCTGAAGATATTTGAGAAGAAACTTAACTAGTCGATTATTTCAAGTCGCAATGAATAGCACCAAGAACATGCTCTGACTCTCCACTATTCTTGTTGATGGGGTTTGTGTACACTCCCATTGATTCCATCACCCTTGGTTCGTAATAGACACGCCTCAATCTTTCAAGAGGTGAAGTCTTTACTTCAAGTTCCACACGATATAAGGTAGCTCGCTGATTGAGCTAACCTATCTTTCTAGCCGTACTTGTCGTTTGCGGTCGCGTAAGCTTAACAAGAACCTCAGTTCCTGACCTCGAAAGGGCCTTCTGTGACGCCCCGCCCGGCGGCCCCACGGATTAATCATAATAGCCGGCTTTAACGGAGATTAGGTAAAAGGTACCGACGGTCTTCAAGCTTTAAAGCGCATCCCCAGTCCAACACGTCAAACCTTGAGAACACCTTAGCTTTTCCCTCAAATAATGGCCTCGTTTCTTATTACCGGCTCCTCGCGTGGCCTGGGCCTTGCACTTGCCACCCGACTTGCATCTCTACCCAGCGGCCAAGTGGGAACTATCTTCGCGACCGCTCGTCAGGATAATTCGGCACAACTCAAGGAGCTCATAAGTGCTTCTTCCGGTCGCGTTGAACTTGTCGTTTTAGACGTGACCGATAAGAAAAGCGTACAGGAAGCAAGTCGCCTGGTTGAACAGAAGTTACAAGGCAAGGGTCTTGACTATTTGATCAACAATGCTGGTGCAATGGACTGGAACCCCGCCGGAGTGGAGGGGATGTAAGTTTTGCTCTCCATAAATAAGAAGGTCCTGTCTAATACAAATTGATCAGGAATAATCTTAATGAAATTTTCAATCTGAATGTCACTGGCACTCATGAGGTTACACGAGCCTTCTTGCCTCTGCTGCGTCGCGGGAGAAGAAGTCCGTTATTAACATGTGAGTTGTGGAAGCTGAATATGGCTCGGACAAGGTGCTAATGGGGTCACGGCTCAGTTCGACGACTCTGGGATCTATTGCCAGAGCTCATGTCTACGAACAAACGCGCTCGCCTGCCTACAAGATCACGAAGGCTGCGTTGAATATGCTGAGCGTACAATATGCGCAACAATATGCCTCTGAAGGATTTACCTTCTTGCTTGTTAGTCCTGGAGTAAGTTGCGTACCGGGATCTGTTGATATAGGAGTTCGTGCTAATTTATGCAGTGGTTGCAAACTGATCTAGGAGGCTCACGAGCAGATCTGCCTGTCGAGACAGGTGCCGAGAAGGTGGTCGATATCGTGCTGAAGACCGGGCCTCATCAAAATGGAAAGTTTGTCAACATTCATGTTCCAGGTTGGGAGAATGCGAAAGGAAATAATTTCTACGCAGGGGAAGAAGTCGAATGGTAAATCTTCGGACAGACGGAGTTTCGCTTAGATCCTACGAGTCTACTATGTTCTCCAAGTGGAGTATCAGAATTCACGGATAAATATTTGAGTATTAATGTTTACAACCATTTGATTGTGTAGATACAGCGTGTACTGATATTACATGTAGATCTTGGAGACCCAGAGGGAAGGAAATTTAACTTTGCAGCTGTTAGGCTCGTCGTGTTGAATGGCAGCTTGATGCTAACTTACCCCTCGCAGTGGTGACTGCCCTCCTGCTCCGGGTCCTTGCAACCACTCGAGCAAAGCTTGGGGTGGCCAACATCACCGGGGTTCTTGCAGTGGAACAGAACATTCTTGAGATCCTCCTTCTCAAGGTCGGTGCCCTTGAGGACATCCTTAAGATCGGCCTCGGTAAAACCTAACAATGTGTCAGATATCTATTACAATGAAATTCCAGACTTTGAAAGCCTACCGTGTGACTTGATCAGGACATCCGAGCAATAGTCAAAGCTGGGTGTGCAAGTCTTGTCCGCCAAGCCGGTGGCGGCAAGTGCAAATACCGTGAGCAAGACTGAGGAGAACTTCATTTTGACTTCGTACACAAAGATGTCAGAAGGTGGAGCGATGGTGTCAGGGGAAACTGTCGTGTATTATATGCTTATTATTTCCTCAAAATGAATAGCAAAACAACCCTTTCGCATTCCCATCGGCTTGGAAAGCTTGGTTTGCATGTTCAAAGCGGAATGTAGTTCGGTATGCGGTTACGCCATGCTGCATACTTCGGGCTATGAGGGATTTTGACCAATCCTAACAAAATAAATTTTGATTTCAACTTTGAAAATCCTCTCATTATCGGCAAAGAGATCTCAATTCTAGGAGCCTGAGGATCTAGAAGGGCCTACAATACCCCCTAGGGGCCTATTTTATGACCATGTGACGTATTGCCTACTTTAGCATCATATATGAGTGGAATAATTCACGCATATGTGCATCGTGCGCTGATTCTACGAATCGTTCCTTTGATATTGTAAGACCCCCTGACCTATTTCTTTTTACTAGTCTCAGCTCAGCAGAGTCTTGTATATGGCGCACGGGTAGTTGCCCAGGTGCTAAACTGATCATGAGACAAAAAAAGACAAGAGAAGCAGTATGTACGAGATGTGTCGTCACTGCGAGACGGCATATTGCTTGGTTGTTAGCAATCAATCGTCGCATTGGCAAATAGCAGCCAAAGCCGAGGTTTGGAATCATTATATCGCAAGCCATTCCCAACGAGGCAGCTCTACGCGCCCCCGTCATGATAAGATAAACCCCGCACAAGACTGGGGCATATATCACCTGGGCATTCAGGTTCAGCAGATGGAGTTTTTTCAGAATTTATAAACCTCGCATCTTGATATTAGCTATCTAGGCTGTATTTCCAAGAGCTGCGTCTCTTACTCCGACTGGTTGATTTGAATTCTTTATACTGCCCGATCTATTCCATTCCAAGGTTCAAACATCACAATGGCACCTACCAAGGAACACGGTAAGAGCCAACCAAGTGTTTGACGCATAGCTGCATTTATTATAGTCTACAATCTTTCTGACACATTCAAGTTACCAAACTCATCAGTGCAGATCCAGGTTTACCCAGACCAAACCCAACAAAGTCTTATTGGCAACACATCCCCACCCACTCGCCAATACCCAATCTCCAACTCTACCCTCAGAGGTGAATTATGCAATAATTGGATCAGGAATCACAGGACTATCCATCGCAAAAACAATCTTGGAGAAAAGCCCCGCTGCAACGGTCACGATTTTAGAAGCTCGGACTCTATGTTCTGGTGCAACGGGCCGTAACGGCGGACAAATGGCCGCTAATGCGGGCGAGGAGTATATGCATTTGGCGACAATGCACGGAGCGGAGATGGCGGGGCGAATTGCAAAGTTCACTCTGAGAAATTTAGAGCGAATGAAGGATTTGGTTGAGGAGTATGATGCGGTTGAAGTTAGTGAGGTGCAGCGGTTGCAGAAGTTGAGGGTTTTCTTGACGGCTGGGAAATTTTCGGAATTTCGGGAGAGTATTGGGAGGATGGAAAGTGATCATCCTTCGCTGAGGGGACTTTATACGATTCTTGATAAGAAGACGGTGCTCAAGGTATATAAGTTTCAAGTTCTTTGCTTTTTAGCTTCCCCCTTGTTGACGATCATTTTATCTAATGCTGGTGGCTTGCGCAGGACTTTGGCATCCATGGTGCGGCTGGCGGAGCACTGATTCCGGCTGGTACAGTCTGGCCGTACAGACTAGTGACAAAAGCTTTTGCGGACCTGTTGAAGAAATATTCAGATCGATTCACGATTGAAACGAATACTCCGGTCTTGGGCGTGGAGCATGATCCGAAGTCCGCGACACCGTTCCCCTACACGCTACGCACATCGCGTGGCCCACTTCGTGCAGGAAATGTCATATATGCCACAAATGGATATACAGGACATCTTCTGCCCAGTCTTCGAGGACGAATTCATCCATTCAAGGGTACGATGACAGTTCAAGACCCTGGCACCTCGGTCCCTAACCAGGGAGATTCTGTTTCATGGGGATTCCATTATCCACCCACCCACGACCCTGCAACAGGACGGTCAGGCTTTGGGCTGTATTATCTCGGCCAGAGTGCGAAAACGGGATACTTCTATTTTGGAGGCGAGAATGCGCGAGTCGATGATACGGTTTCGGCGGATGATAGCTTTGTTGGAGAGAATTCTGTTTCGCATTTACAGAGTGTCTTGCCGCGGTTTTTTGGAAAGAATGAATCTGCCCCTTGGAAGCTTGTTAGCTCCTGGAGTGGAGTTATGGGGTTTTCATCTGATGGATTGCCTGTGGTTGGACGTGTGCCTTCTCCTATTTCTGGACGTAGTGGCCAAGGGGAATGGATTGCGGCTGCGTTTAATGGGTATGGCATGGCGAATTGCTTGCTGAGTGGAAAGGCATTAGCATTGATGGCTTTGGGTGAACGAGTTGACTGGCTTCCTGGTGCATATGGATTGGACGAGAAGAGATTGAGCAATGTTTTGACTGCGCCAGAGTCCGTCAAGGCGCTGACTGCAAAGTTATAGAGTTTGGTTACTCGCCAAGCCAACACAGATCTAGCAATCAAAATGCACATAGTTGGGCGCTGATGCTCGTAGGGTATCTTTCCTTTCCCCAAGATATCCTGCCCGAAAAGATCTAGATAGAGAAAGAGCTGGGGCTAAATTGCAATCGCTTCCTCTCTGGCGAAACACGCATGTGGGTCTACCAGAGTAACCATCGGGACGCTCAACATACACAGAAAGCTAGCATCAAAGCATGTATGGTTGGCTAGGCTAAGTGATAGGATGGGAAATAATTGAATGAAACTCATGGCGCTTGAGAAATGCGGTACTTGTTTATTTGTTGACAATTAATCTGTACATAGCGACAAGATCCAGGCCACTCCAAAGAGCAAATGTGTCAATGCCAGAGACAGGCCCTCGTCATCGAACACAGAATGCTAAATAGACATGAGATGATGCTGACGGCTTCCAGATCTTTGTCCGGGTTGTGAATGCAGAGCTCTTTCGCATTAGAAAAATTTTTCCCTGCCGTTTGTGGCCCCACCTCTTCCCCTTCGTCGGTGACAGCCTTCCATTCCTCCAGGAACAAAAAAAGAGCTTCACGACAGCCGGGAAGATGCTGAAAGACCAAAAAATGGACTCGCGGGGAATCGAACCCCGGACCACTCCCATGCTAAGGGAGTATTATACCACTAAACCACAAGCCCAGTTGTTATGGTGGGTCGGCGGAAAACGGACTCAGGTGCCGGTGGCGGGTGCTCGGCCCGATCTGAATCGGCTAGGTCGATGCCTCGGCCGTCACAAAGTCCATCGCAGAGGATTGTTGGTTAAGACCGCCCGGGGATTGTTGGAGTTTCCAGGTCTTTGTTTCTGTATGTTGCGATCGTCCCTCTGCTGCGCCAATTCCAATTCCGTCAATACAGCGGACCAGGTAGGTTTCAAGGGAGAGCTGGTCGCGAGATAGGACAATTCGCAGCTTCTTGTGCTTTTCGGGATGGTCGTAGGCAAGAAGCAGTTCACCCATATGGGGATAAATAGGATCCCACCATCGTTTGGCAGGGGTATCCGGTTCGGTCTTTTTCTCCTCATCCGCTTCCACAGATGAGATTTTCATGACAACGTCGAGTAATAGAAGGTGGGCCACGGCAGCTTCAACCTCCTCTCTCAGACTTAGATTGCCTGGGGACTTGAGGTCTGGAACAGATGGTAGGTCGAAAGAGACATCGTAGTGCGTGCCAAAAGGAGGGAATGACATATTGGTGCGCATTCTCACGGTAAAGACACTGTTCGGCGTGAGGAGATTTCCTTGAAACACGGACTCGATTGGTTTCAAAGAGCTTGCAACGAGACCTTCAAGCGCGTTCGGGGAAGAGTGATGATGGGGTAGATTCCAGTTGGAAAACATCTGGGCTGTGAATTCGGGAACCTGGAAGCCCGAAGACCGCAGAGTAGTAACAATGTCGTGAACGAATGATTCTAGATACCGAGCTTCTGAAATATGCTGAAGATATGCGAGTGCAGGGCGTAAAAGATGATACTCGGGATTGGGTCGTCTCTTTGGAGTCAAGGGCAGTGGGACTTGCGTTCGTCGGTGTAAGTTTTGACGATGAGCAAAGGAAAGCAGTATGCGAATAGAGTGGGCCACGCCATTCGCAAGAACAACATCGTCTTGAGATGACTCTTGTTCAGTGTGAACACTCTCGTCATTGGTATCCACCAGATCAAGCAGAATTTCAAGGTCATCAGCGGCCGGGATCTGAATGAGATTTTGTCGCGTCGTCACACCACAGCTAGCAATCGCCCTGGCCTCTCGAACAAGCTCATGGAACAGTTCGTCCTCGAAGACGGAATCGCGAGCTTGGAGGATCCGTTGCTCAATAGACTCCGCATCGTTGGAGCTAGCCCCGGGCGGCTTTGTACAACCGGTGATTCTAGAGCCTCGTTTCACGCGGACCCGAACGAAGCGCGAACCCGAGGGAACCAGCCCTTGGTCCAACACTAAGCTGCCATCGTTGCCACGTCGCAAAGAAGCAAGTCCACGGTCGCGGAAAACAGGTGTAGCTATGTGTCTTGGTTAGAAAGAGCCGGTGCGCAAGTGGAGAAGTAGAACTTGATCTTACCTTCCATAAATCCATACTGTACACCCAGAGATTGTCTCTCCCGAGGAAGTCTACAGACCTTCCATCCTTTATCTTTAATCGCTAGCACCGAATTCCAGTATTTCGTCTCTGCCTCAACTTCCTTTTCAAGCCGAGAAGCTGCGCCGAGTAGTTTGTTGGCCGCGGAGTTGAAGTTTTGAATTCTCCAGCCCCTCGATACCGTCGATATATCTTTATTGACCGAG